ACACACACACACACACACACACACACACACACACACACACACATACACACACACACACACATACACACACACACACACACACACACACACACACACACACACACAGGAAGCCGGAACTGTGACAACTGATAGGAGGTTTTGTTCCTCGAGGCTAGACAAATATTTCACGACTGAGGCAAAATGGTAAGGGAGAGGTGAGGGAGAAAGAGGAAGTGATGGAGAGAGGGTATGAGGGTGAGGGAGAGAGAGAGAGGGTATAAAGGCGAGGGGAAGTGAGGGTGAAGGAAAGTTGAGGATGGGGAGAGGTGAGGTGAGGGGGAGAGGTTAGGGTAAGAGGGAGAGTCAAAGGGGGGAAAGTATAAGTCAGGGAGAGAGAGAGAGAGAGAGAGAGAGAGAGAGAGAGAGAGAGAGAGAGAGAGAGAGAGCACGTCCTACTTAGGGTCTCCATCAATCGTCGCGGCAGCAGACCAACAGACAGGCAAGGAACAGATAACAGACAGAGACAAAGGCGAGACAGACATAAAAAAAAAAGACGCCAGACATAGATAAACAAAAAGATGTACGAGACAGACAGGCAGACAGAGATAGGCTTTAACTACATACAAACAGACGGGTAGACAGACAAACCCGGTTTCTATTATTGACTGTCAGCTAATTCTCCCTTACGTAATGTTGTAGACAAAGAGAGACAGAATTATGATGTTCAGACACACAGACAGGGAAAAGACCTCCACACAAGACACAGACATACAGACAATGACCCAAAAGACACCCCCCTCCCTCACCCTACCCCCCCTACCCCCTCTCAACCCCCCTCATCAGTTGGAGGTGAGGGCGGAGGCTCGTATACTCAGAGGCGGGGAATTCCCAGCTGTGTGAATGTAAATATTTACATCTTGACATGCGTCGCTCGCTCTCACACCCTGCAGCAATATACCCAGGGTTCTCACTCACCTGTCTCATGCTCTCTACTTCACCTCACCTCACTTCACCTCACCTCACCTCACCTCACCTCACCCCACCCCACGTCGCCTCGCCTCACTTCACCTCACCCCATTTCACCTCACCTCGACCTCGCCTCACCTCGACCTCGCCTCACCTCACTTCACCTCACCCCCATCTCACCTCACTTCACCTAACCTCATCTCACCCCTAGAGAAATGATTCATCAGTTAATCAGTCAGAAAAGGCGGGCACGAAATAACTCTCAGTATATCAGTCAAGAAAGGTTGGCATAGGTCTGTCTACTCAACCTTCTCTTTCCATACCATACCCAGAGTGCCAGAGTGCCATTGAGAGTGCCAGAGTGCCAGTGAGAGTGCCAGAGTGCCATTGAGAGTGCCAGAGTGCCATTGAGAGACCCCACACAGTGCTATCAATTTGTGTTGACATAGTGTTGAGGGAAAACATGTAAATACTCGCCAGCCACTCCCTGAAGGACTACTCAAAGCCAGTCTCCTACAGTCTCCTACAGTCTCCCCCAGTCTCCTCCAGTCTCCCCCAGTCTCCTGCATCAACAACAGTCTTCAGGTTCTCCCGTGAGCTTTACCGTGTCTCTCATAGTAAGAGAAAGAGGTCTTTTGTCTGTGTGTGTTGTGTCTGTCCCTCTCTCTCTCTCTCTCTCTCGGTGGCTGGTCGGGTGGATGGAGAGTTAAGTATCAAGGTAGAGGTGTTTTGGTGTTAGAGGTAATAATGGGGCTTATTAATTATGGCGCCCTCGACACTCTGAAGGTGCTACAGCAGAAGGGAAGGGTAGGTAAGGGTAAGGAAGGGAAGAGGAAGTGAAGGGAGGCATTGTGGGTAAGGGTAAGGATGGGAGGAAGGAGGGTGTGCGAGGGAGGGGGTAAAGGGGTAAGGAAGGAAGGGAGGGACGGTTAATAAGGGAGAGAAGTAAGGTAGGGAGGAAGGGAAAGTGGGTGGGTAAGAGAGGTAGGAGGGTAAAGAAGGAACGATCTGTAAGGGAATAGGAGGGAGGGAGGGTTAATAAGGGAGGGGAGAAGGATGGAAGTAGGACGGGTTAGAACACACTGTCGTTATCAATCATATCAAAACAAAAGAAAGAAAACGATAAGGCAACAGCAAACATAACAGCAACAACAACAACAACAGCATCAACAACACCACCCATATATTAAGAACACGTATGAATCTATTGGAAGTCTTCTCTTTAGTATAAATATAAATAAAATAAAATAAAAGAAGTGTGATCCAAATTCCCCTCCTCTTGTTCTTCTCCTCCTTCTCTTCTCCTCCTGTTCTTCTCCTCCTTCTCCACTTCTTCCTACTCTACATGCACTTTTTACCTCCCTCCTCATTTTTCATCCCTCCCACTTCATTTCTTCCCTTACCCTCCCACCTCCTCTATCACCCCTCTCACCCTCTCCCCCTACCCTCTCACCCTCCCCTCTCACCCTCCCCCTCCCCTCTCCCCCTACCCTCTCACCCTCCCCTACGTATAAATTATCATATATTCCTCGTGTGTTGGGCCGCCAGTAAGAAAGGTGTGGGAGGTATATGTCAATGTCTTCAGCACCACGCTAGTGACTCATAAGAACACCACTTGTGCCCCGGCCTCGCTTGACAAAGGTTCCTGGGCTATATTTACAAAGGTTCCTGGGCTACATTTACAAAGGTTCCTGGGCTATATATAAGGTTCCTGGGCTATATTTACAAAGTCTCCTCAGTTATACAGTATTTACAAAGGTTCCTGGGCTATATTTACAAAGGTTCGTCAGTTATATTTACAAATTTTATTGGATTATATTTACAAAGGGTCCTCAGTTATATTTACAAAGGTTCCTCGGCTATATTTACAATGTTTCTGGGCTGTATTTACAAAGGGTCCTCAGTTATATTTACAAAGGTTCCTCGGCTATATTTACAATGTTTCTGGGCTGTATTTACAAAGGGTCCTCAGTTATATTTACAAATATTCATGAGACCTTTCCAAAGGTTGTAGTTCCTGTGTAGTCTCAGTGCAATTTTTACTTCCATTTGGCCGCCATCTTCGTATACTGGACCGTGTAAACATAAGGCTCCTCCCAATACGTATTTTGTATCTTGTATTTTGTTAATTCTTTCGTATTTTGAGGACTGTATTATATGTGCTCAGGAGTCAATCTAACCTAACTTAACCTAACCTAACCTTTAACCCCTTTAAGCAGAGATTTGTTAAAAGAAGAAAACAATAATATAAATGTATGTTTTATTTTTTGATGACAGACGTGGAGATTTTTTATATGAAGAAAAGGTTGCAATATATTCCTTTCGTGGTTCAACTTTTTTTTCTTGATGGGTGTGGGTGGGTGGATGTTTGAAGGGGTGTGGTTGATGGGTGTGTGTGTGTGTGGGGGGTGGGTGGGTATGAAGTGTATGTGTTGAGTGTGGGTGGGTGTTTTTGTTTGAGGTGTATGTTTTTTGTTGTGTGTGTTTGTTGTGCTTGTTGAGGCGTGGTTGTATCTCCAATATTTGAGTAATTGATGTGTTTGTTTACATGTGTTTGTTTGGGATATAGTGTGACGCTCCTGTCGGTTTTTTTTATTTACACACACACACACACACACACACACACACACACTACGGAAAAAAATGAACACCATAAAAAAGATTGAAGAGGTAACAGCTTAACAAAACGTAACTCGATGTATAAGAGAATAGATAAAAAGAGATAAAGAAGAACAGTCAACAATAATAACAGTAAGAGGTGAAACACAAGGACCTCTCTCTCTCTCTCTCAGCTATGGTAGTCTCCTTCTCACAACAAAACTCCAAGTAATCCATCTATTTCACCCATCCTCGTTGGTCCACACACCCCAACATCACCCATCAACAACACGTCCGTCCGTCCGCCAACCATCAGAGGACGCCATGCTATCCTCTCATGTCCGCACACCACACGACGTCATGCTGTCCTCTCATGCACGCACACCTCCACTTGCTAAATGTTCTCCCACTGACATTACATGTCACATAAATAAACGTTCCAGCAACACCAGAAAAAAATATATATGTATATAAACATGGAGGAAAAATGTACAGTAGAGAGATGATATTCTTCACCATAACACACATTCTCCCTCCCTGTTTCTTACGTCAGGTGAATGGTCAGGCGTGTGTTGTGTTTTTCTCGTGTACATAACCTGGAACTTTTATTACCGTAGGAGTGCGGTGTATTGTGTGTTGTGATATGTTGGAAATACTGTTCATATATGTACTGTAGGTGTGTGTGTACTGTAGGTGTTTGGGTATGTATGTATATGTGTGTGTATATGTTTGTGTTTGTATGTGTGTATATGAGTCACAGTTGTCGTCGTGTTTCTTACCTCTGTCATTTACAACAGTAGGGGAAGGAAAAGTTTTGAGATGTATGTGATAGTGATCTGTCGGGCGGGCGGGCGGACCTCCCAGGGGTGTGAGCGAGACTTGGGGACGAATATTTTGATGGTATTGCTTGTTACGTCACCCGTGTGTGTGTACCTCTAACATTACCGGAGATTGTGTGTGTGTTGGGGTTGCATTAGTGTACGTATTACTGCCTGTTTGTGTGTGAAGGTGGATGCATTAGTGTGTGGGTGTGTCGTATATTTGTAATGGTGAGAACATTATTGTTGTTTATTGTTTACAAAGCTACAGCCGCCATTGTTTTCCGCACCGTTAATACTAATGAATATTTTCCGTAATAAAAATATGTAGTGTCAAATGTTGGTTTTCTTTAACATAGTGATAATATAAGCGTCATGATACTTGTCTTTCAATAGACGTATAATTTAACTCTTAATCATAATATAAAGTAAAAATTTATATCTAATTTAGTGTAATAGAATGTAAGCGTTTATATATTATGGTGTGTACTTATAATTTAAGTAACGGTGTGAATTTGTGTTTACCTACCATAGAAGTCTGTCTGTCTGTCTCTGTCTTTGTATGTACAGTATTGTGTTGATGTCCGTTTTCTATACATGTTACCGTATTACTGTTGACGTTTGTGTTTTTTTTTACAGGACAAGGAAAGTTACGACTATGAACCCAACTGTACCTTCAAGGTGGATGAGTACGGCTTCTTTGTCTTCTGGAAGAGTGACGGTAGAGTGAGTATAAACCTCGTTCATTTCTCTTAAGGGTTCATATCACAGGGTTCAAATCTTGTTCATATCTTTCAGGGGTTCATATTTTGTTCATGTCCTTCAAGGGCTCATATATTGTTCATTTATCTTAAAGGTTAATGTCAAGGGTTCAAATCAGGTTCATTTCTCTTAAAGGTTCATATGAAGGGTTCAAACCTTGTTCATTTCTCTTGATGATTCAAATCTTCATTTATCTTAAGGGTTCGTGTCAAAGGTTCAAATCTTGTTTACTTCTCTGTAAGAATCATATAAGGGGTTCAAATATGGACTGTTACTATTTTTGGAGTGTTTGTGTGCGTGTGTAACTGTATGTATGTGTATGTAGAGTACGTGTCAATGAATGTGTATGTATGTATCTATGTATGTAGTCCCCAAAACAGTATCATGCCAACTTTGTATACCCTTTGATCTGATAAATACTGTATATCTCTAACTAACAGTATATGTCTCTTAATTATATCTCTCTAATCCTGTGTCTGTGTCACTACTCACATTTTTTTTTCTCCCAGGAAGGAAACGTGGCTGAATTGTCTCAGGTTTCTGACATCCGTAGAGGAACATTACCCAGGGTCAGTACACGCTGCTTTGCTTACCTTCCTGTTGTTCATCGGGTACCTGGGATCCGATAGGTACTCTATTTGGTTCACCTGATGATTAACCTTCCCAGCTTATTTCATCTTTAGATTAACCTCCCCCTCTTATTTCACCTTTAGATTAACCTCCCAGCTTATTTCATCTTTAGATTAACCTCCCCAGCTTATTTCACCTTTAGATTAACCTCCCAGCTTATTTCATCTTTAGATTAACCTCCCCAGCTTATTACACCTGTAGATTAACCTCTCCAGCTTATTTCCCATTAAGATTAACCACATTGGTCCAAAAGTTCGGTTTAGACCTTCAGATCAATAAACCTTTGGGAACATAAGAGCTGTATAAGCAATCAACTCACATGGATCCCTCACCTGTGATGTCTCATTACCTTCATTAAACACTTGACGTCACTTCCGTGTTAATATTACTAAGTTGCTTTCCATATTTATTTATCCCTGAGGCCTGAGCCCGTACTGAGGAGAGGGAAGTGAACTTGTGGCTACAGTTAGAATGTCAGCCATGCTCTGATTGATGTAGTCTTCCTTCAATCTCGTGTTAATATAAGCTACTTGTACGATCAGATAAGTTTTATTTACAGTTTCATTTACGTGTGTTTTGTATTAAATATTTAACACACGTAAATGAAAATGTAAACTTTGTAATTTCTTAAGTATATAATCGGTTATTAAAAGGAAACAATAACAAATAAGGTTGTGATGTTTAAATGTTCGTTGGTTTATGTTTATAGTGAGGAGACACGTGAACAATACATGATAAAAGAAGGTAAACTCTATTACTGTAGTGTATGTACTTTAAAATTACCGTAAATTTTTACTTTAGTCCCTAGGGGTTGACCAATATGTTTTTCCAGTGTATTTTGGTGTGTTTTAAACGAATCTGACTTTAATTTTTGGCGGAAATTGCTAGTTTTTGCCCCCCCCCACCCAACAATAATGGGGGAGAGCCTCGGAAATCTGGGTTTTTGGGTGGGGTAGAAAACGAAAACTAGTCATCTAACCTAACAAAACCCAACCCCTAGCTGGACCCCGAGTAGGCCTAGCTTAAACTAACCCAAATGTTTCAGTAGTTAAAAACTTTGGGGCGCGCCATCTACGAAAATACAATACCTTAGTTAGAAGTGGAAGGACCAGGGATACGTAAGAATTGGATAAGAATGATCGTCTTTCTCATAAAACTCTGCAATAAATTAAAAATAATCATAGGAGCACAAATGACAACCAACCTCCACCACTGCCATTGTGAGACTGGTCAATGAAATTACTGTATTCAAATTACCCAGGCGCTGCATCCTTTGAAAAAAATCAAATTGGATTGGTAAAAAGAAATTCGCATGTTATCAATACATCATTGGTCACGACTGGATGACGTCAGTCAATATTGCGCATGCGTGATGCGCCAATAACATTACCTCACAGCCGAAGACTAAAAACTACGTAAAATCAATTAAATTCAATTGTGTCGCAATTATCCATTTCTGCCATGTATACCCCTGTACAGTATATGGGGCTCAAAATGCTCAGAATAGCGAGATCTAAATGTTTCAGTAGTTTATAACTATCGGGCGCACCATGTCCTTAAGTAAAATAATACCAAAATGGCTTACATACGTGGTGTTTGATCATTGACAGTTTTGTGTTATAGGTAGAGAAAGTAAAGAATTAGAACCTAACCTAAACTAACCCACCCTGGGCTATTAGGTTCCTGACATTGTAATTTCAGTCCCATGTTAACTTAGTCTTCCTCAGAGGTTGAATTGGATTCATTGTAAACTTAAAGTAATTTTTCTTGTACTGTATTACCACCGTACCACCCAAACACACCTTGCCAAACCAAATTTACCCCAAATCCTAAGATTAGGTTTGGCTTGTTTTTATGTCAGCTTTCACTAATGGCTGTCACATTTTTTCCTTTATCCACCACCGGATTTACATTATTTGCTGTGAAACAATATAAAGTGTCCAAACAATTTAATGTACAGTACTGTGTTGTAATTCTTATATTTTACAGGTAGTTCAGTAACATGTCAACGGTGTTATTAAATATACTGTATCAGTGTAATTACATCCAACAGGTGTAGAAGAAAGGCTTATTATAATTCATAGGCATAGACATTAATGGATTTTCATTGTACAATTATTTAAATTTAAAAATATATAATAAATCATGATTGTTTATTGAGTTATCACTTAGTAATAAACAATGGCTCCTTCCTTTGATTTACAAATACCTCAATGACTTCCTTTCCCCCCAGGATAGCAAGCTGTTGGATAAGTTATTAAACAAATTTGGCCAAGATGTGGAGGACAAGATGCTGGCCATTTGTTCGGGGCTGGATTATGTCAGCATCAACTATATCAACATTGTCTGCAAAACAAAAGATGAGGCAGATGTAAGTTTTCATTGTCTGGTTCATATTTAGAATTGTGAGGAATTATATGTATCTATGAACTTGCTTTGAAATACTGTATATGTCTTCATGATTAATATAAAGTCAGTTAATTTCTTTGATTGGTTGTATTAAGATCAGTCACAGTGCACTCATGTCTGCCAACTCAGGAGACAAGGAATTGGGCAAGGCTGATGGGATATTACACCTTTTCACATGTCCGTTGAGACATTGTTACATAACTATTTGACAAATTTCATAACTGAATGACAGAACACATATCGAATGACAATCTAAAATAACTGTTGGTGGTATGTCATTCTCCAATTGTTACATTCTCAAACTACCGGGTATATGTAGACTGTCGGTTTATTGTTCACGTCTGTCAACTTCATAACTTATGTCAGTCATTTCCGTTAGCATGAACGAACAGTTATTTTAGATTGTCATTCGATATGTGTTCTGTCATTCGGTTATGAAATTTGTCAAATAGTTATGTAACAATGTCTCAACGGATATGTGAAAAGGTGTATTTGTGGTGTAATGCTGAGCTGGTCACTCGTCACATCAGCACCTCAGACTAAGCTAACCCTCTTGGAGGATTTATTGCACATTGCATATTATTTGCCCCTCTTGGCTAGAAGGACGAACTGTATTGTACAATCCAAGGTTCAAGAAAAGTCAGGCGAGTGGACATGTGTTCGTTCAGTTCAGTAGTTTCTTAATGACTACAGCATGTTAGTTATAATTTTTTTTAATTATTTATTTTCTAATGACAACACAAAGTGATAGGTTTGTTTGTTATCTACAATTACTACAGTAGCATGTAGGTAAGAAGGACAAACATATTACTGTCTTGAGGTTGTTGGAAGGCAGACAAGCAGTCGAGCCAATCAGGTGAACAGAGGGCTATGGACACAGGAAACAACTGGGTAAAAGTAGAGGCCATGTTTACAGTCATGGTATAAATGACTATGATGTGAATATAGAAATAATATTGTTATTCAATGAATAACATAGAAGATATTGAGCTCTGTATTATTAATAGAGTTCTTAAAATATTCGGTAAAACTGCAGATTACAGCAACCAAAGAATCTGATAAAAAATATGTTTATCGATTGAGTGTAGTAAATTTCCGGAATTCTCTGGTTGCTGTTAACTGCAATATTCCAAATATTCTTGTGCTCTAGTGAGGGTATTTCATTGTTGGAATATTTTGGTATTTACAGCTAAGAGGTACACTTTTGAGGCCACACAATCAGGTGAAATATTAATGTATACAGTATGTATATGGCGAAGAATATTGACCTCAATATACTTCCATGTAGCACAATACAGTACAGGTACTGTTTAAGCTAATCTGAGAAATAATCTCTCATTGTTTTTTAACTCATCACCTTATGGGCTTTCCTCAGCAGTCATCCAATAGATTTGTTTTGTCTTATAGCAATTATAATCACCCATCATCAACGAGTGTTATTGGTTTTTATTTGCAACTTGTGTTAATTGTTTGTTCAGGTGTTCATTTTACTCATTATCACTGATAAACACATACAGTAATGGGACTTGTTAAAATAGATACAATACTGAGAGACCAGTTGTGTTCATAACTGACCAGTACAGTATTGTGAATAATTGTGATTATAAGCATCAATTACTTGGGGACAAGTTACTTCATTACAAGACATACACTCTTGCAGTTTGGGGACAACTAGAACACCAAATGATCTATTTCCACAAAATCATTCATATATTTGAAGATTTAAAGATGGCCTGTTCTGGACATTCACTTGTCCTCAGTCTTTGTACCAAGTTAGATCATGGTAGTCAAGGGTCTGACTAGTTAGTCCAGGTCCCAAGCCAGTTCAGGGTGTAAGGTAGCCCTAGGCCCAAACTGTCATCGAGACTAAACCTATCCAGGAACTGAACTAGTTGAGCTAGTGTAGCGCTGTTGATTCAGGGGTTGAAGTGATCTTTTATCAGGTGCTGGAATAAGTGACTTAGGGCTTTTGGATACCTGTAATACACTTAACTGATAATGAGTACAGTACTACTCATGGACTAATGTGAGAGTAAGTTACTTAAGCTGTTGGTCAGCCTTAGCAACAATAACATAAATATCATACCTTTACCTAATATTAATAATCTCCTTATCCACAGGCATGGTTAGAAGGTCTTCGAAATATATTTCACAACATCAGGGCTAATAACATATGTCCAATGATGTGCTTAAAAAAGCAGTAAGTCCCCTCCTCATAGCAAATTTTAACTGGTGCATGACATTAATTTTTAGTCTAAAGCATTCTCTTGCAGGTGCAGCATATTTATGCATGATCTGCATTAGGTATGCTTTTGACACATGTTATAAATGCATTTTATCAGAGATACAAAAGTGGACTTGACATATTGTTAATTGATTCAGTGTAATTATTAGTGCCTGATATGTGTACTGACTCTCATTATAATGTGTTAAATGTTTGGGGACAGTATATTTGTGATTAGCATTTTAATTAATTAATTAATTATGTGGCAATGACTGCATGCAACTTGTGGCTAAAACAGTGTACACATAGATACTGGTACTTGTTCAGGGCACATAAATCATTCCGTTTTGTGTGAAACAAGCTGATGCACATTAACCAATTTATGCTTCAGCACATTAACTGCTGCTTGGTTGTGCACATTTTAATGGCTTAAGTGTGATATGCATGTGCTGGCAAAGGTTTTTATTGACATTGCTTTAATTGGCTTGGTATTCAGCTGACATGGAATACTTTTTATAGTGAATGTATGAGGATAAATTTATTTTGCCACAGTGAATTGGTTAAATTAATGAAAGAATTATGGTGAGGGTAATCAGGCATTAAGACTAATACATGTACAATTAATGCAAGTAATATAAAGGTGACATTAGACCCATCATTGATTACTTCCTTAAAGGTCTTGAGAATAATTTAGGGTTGGTTTGAAACAGTGCTCTATAGTACAGTACCTCTTTCTTAATTATTATGCCATTAAAATATTCCAATATGCAGGATTACTTAAGTAGTTAATGTATTAATACAAGAATAATGAAGAAGACTTTTCAAATGCTGTACAGTACCAACCAGTACTGTTGATTGTATATTGTGGGAGACCTACTCATAAATATTATTATTTGGTTCTTTCATGGGATGGTCAGTATTCTCTTCAAATTGCCTAAGAAGCTTTAGTTGATGTAATACTATGTCTCTATTTTTTTTTTTTTTATTAACTTTAATGCTGGAGAATATGTAGCACACATTTCCCCCATGGTATTGTGAGAACATTATTAATAACACGTTACACATGATGTATAACAAACCTTGAAGTGGTAAAGTAGGTGGAGTTCAGTTTGTGTGAACTAATTTTTGTTGTCGCTGTTTATAATTTGTAGCAAGTTTTGTCAAAGGAACATTTTTACCCATAAATCATTAGTTTTCTTCAATTCTTCCTTTTGCTGGATTCTCATATATAGATGTGGCAACTAGGTCTGCGGAGAGTTACTAATAACAACAAACTCAACAACGTGTGCCCCAGAACCAACTTGATGAAGCAGTAAGATATCATGGAGCGGTGACTGTGGTAGACCAGCTACTGTTACTGTAGTTGTACTCTTAGACTCCCCAGAAAAAGCTGCAGTACAGTGACCCCTCGTTTAACGAACACCTCGGTTAACGTAATTTCGATTAACGAACTGCCTTCCATAAGGATCTTCAATTCGGTTAACGAAAAAATTCAACTGCACTGACCGGGCAACCAGCTTTAGTATCAGTCCGCCAATACATTAATCGGTTCTAGGGCTTAAATTCCTTACTATTTTTGTAAATATCAAGAAGTTTATACTATTCAATAATTTTAAAAGTTTAATATTCAATTTTTTAGTCATTTTAACAATTATTGAACGAAATTGAAGGTAAAGTGACTAGTTTAATGCGCTGCATCCAGCCTCTTAACACAGCAAACAGGCGTCAGTCTCTCTCTGTTTTCACTGGAGGTAACATCTTGCTTGAGACTCTCTTCAACTAAATGCTTTTTTTCTGTGTTTCCAAGCAAATTATTGGTCATTTTGAAATATATTTTATATATTGACAATATATAATGCAGTGCAGCATTGATTTAAAGAAAATAATCTTGAATTAAACCAGAGAGCTAAAATTTTATGGGTGAAATGGCACCATGGGGTGACTTCTCTTCCACCCCACTGCCTTCTCTTCTTCCTTCTCCTCCACCCCCATTCTAAATCCCATCATCATCATCATCATCATCATCATCCAGGAGCCTTCTACATACACACAATCTCAAAGTGCGAACTTTTCACCATTTTGTTGAATTTAGGAAATTTTCGGTGAGCTGGAACCAATTGATTCAAAAAACCCATTGAAACAATGGTTTCGTTAACGAACGCTTTCGGTTAACGAACGACCTTCTGAACGGATTGAGTTCATAACTCGAAATAATGTACAGTACTGTATAATGAAATATTATATGGTTGAATTTTCAATTACTTTATTGTATTACCACAGTTGCTATTTTTATCTTAAATAATATCTATATCCTCTGTTAGGCTTAGTTTACATTGTCTTCATATTGCATTCCAAAATACAGTAGTATCTATATCTATTGGTATATATTGTAGCTGTGTACCTTTTTCACACCAAAAACTGTTAATATTATTGAAGTGCAGTATACTTCATGTGAACAGAATCTGATACTGTAATGTAGTACTTGAGTATTATCTTAAAGCATAAACTCTTATCTGTTTTCTTAGCAAGATACATAGGTGTTGAAAATAACAAAATAATTGTTAACAAATCTGGGTTGAAGACAGTGGTGTAAGTTCTTTAAGGTGTTGTGTATAGCTATATGTTAATTATTTTTCTATAAGTTCACATCTTTTCTTGAACAGTGTTAGGAATTTACTTTTAGAAAGATGTTTAAGCCCTCCACACTGTATGTTCAGATAGCTAATTTATATGTAGTATTAACATCATATATTCACTTGCTAGCTAGGCCATATGTTGAGGTTAACTACAATACCTACAGTACTATGATTCATTAGTACAGCTGCTCATGTTATGTACTGTAATGTACTAAACCACAACATATTTAAAAAAAGAAATGGTGATCCTAATTATACTTATAATCAAGCTTTGATGTTGCGTTCTCAACAAATAAACTGAATCACATGACGTGTTTTGGGACAACTTGTCAGTAAACCTGTTGATTATACAGTTCCTGAATTACATTTCAGAGCTGAAAGTGAGGTTCAAATTAGAAAATAATTAGATTGGCAAAAACTCATTAACAGTAAACAAGTGCGATGATACCAGCATCACTCAACAATAAAAATGAGGATTTTACCAACATTACTTCTCCAGATAAATTTATACACCATTTTTACCAAGCCTTCCCATGAGATACAGTTCATGTGGCTTCCCCATATGTGTGCATGTGCTTTTATGCTGCTGCTGTCTGTCCATCCAAACATCTTGTGAACATGATAACTTTTAACTAATAGAAATGGATGTCATTGAAAGTTGGAATGTGGATACTGTATAACCCAACAAGATCTCGGATGAATTCAGTAATCAACATTTTCCCTTCTTAGGTTGGGGAGTTGTGGGTATAAATAAATATAATGTGCACATTAGTGTACAGTATTATTATATCAGATTCATCGTAAAAGTAATTTCTATTAAAAATCTAACTTTCTTAACCTTGTATTTAGACTCCACTTTGTAATTTGCTTACGTCATACTTGTGTCCTGCTTTCTTGTAATACTTTTCCTGTCTTTAGTCTATTGCATGTCTTTATTGTTTGCCTATTTATATGTTTTCTAAGCTAAATTTATTGTATACTGTAGTTACATTATGTATTACTGCAGTGTACTATATGATTCAAGTGTATAGTTTTCCTTGACAATATTATGAATATAACACTGCGACTCTTGACCAGTTCAGGTATTTCAATCCCAGTAAAAGTGTTGGACAAGTTACTCAAGTAACCACAATACATGCACAGGAATTGCTCCATCATCAATTAATATTGAATGGGATGAAGTTAATTAAAATCTCCACAATTTTTAATTACTGCACCAATAATTTATAATTAAGACTTTCTTTGCCACATTTCCTCCTCAGCTGTACAGGGTCTCTGGCCCCTCTCGGAGTGTACTCCACAAGTTTATTCCTAGATCATAGTAGTTCATTTTCTGATTTGAATCATTGATAATATATACTAAGTACAATCCACTTATATTAGAACTTGCTTCCTTTACTAGTAATAAAAGTATATGCATGTTTAGATACAAATAGATGTGTCTATTAACCCTTGTGTTTTCCCTTTACTATGAAATAACAGTTGGATGCGCCTTGGGATGATGGTGGACAGTGGTGGTAAGATCCCTGTAAAACACATTGTCCGAACCTTTGCCTCCGGCAAGACAGAAAAGATGGTCTATTCATGCCTAGAAGAAATGGGTCTGCCTTCTGGAAAGGTAAGACATGTCATACACCCAGTATTTGTAGGTACTATTTACTGTAGTACTGTTTTCAATTGAAATGCTGTCTATAGATACGACTTTACAGATACTGTACTGTACTGTACTGGCCATATTGACACACTTGGGCTGTGCCATTTCATGACAGCCTGTAAATATTTAAACATTATATAATATACTGTACTGTGTTGAATGTAAAAGTAGGACTATAAAGGATTTCTCACATGATGAGAAACAACTCTTAATTCTTTCACAACAATAAGAAACATAATGTAACCTTGTGTCACACTTCTGTCATCTTGTATTGCAACACCAAGTAAAACTCTGTTATCTTTTGACATTGTGTTACATAAGAAATGCTTAAGATTATTTTTCCCATAAATTTGCATTATTGACTCATAGGATCATGGAGAAGTATGTTGTCATATTCCATTACTTTTGAAGAAAAAAAACGCCTAAAAGATGGCTTTGAAGATGCTTTTGTTTTATATTGGGTTTCTCTCATAACAGGGTGACAGCATAGAAAAAGATGCCTTCACTTTCGAGAAGTTCTACAAACTTTACCATACTATCTGTCCTAGGACTGATATTGATGAACTCTATACAAGCGTGTAAGTTGTACATTACTTACCTAACTATACTGCATCCTCTTTAGTCCTTGTCACCTTACTACCCTGTCTTATAAGTCTTCTTCATGCTTTAATATCTTTGTGCGGCTGGTTGGACTGTTTTTCACTCCTCAGATTTTCACCTGCAGTAGAGTTAATTTAGGATCATAATTTTTTTAATATTTGATTGGAAGTTTTGTTAAGTCGCCATAAGTTATTTATGTGACTTGATATAAAAAATGCTACACAGTGATGAAATTTGAAGACCAATATCCTTATGTAAGATTATACAGTTGTGTGTGGGTTAAAGTTTGAATATTTTAGCCATACAATATATGTTATTTGCTTGAATTATCTCTTGTCATTATTGAATTTGAACTCCAATATGTCTATGCCTTCTTATGAAATCACAAAACTAGAGTACAGAATTCTTCAATACATACTATACTGTAAATAATGGTGTAGATTTCTCTGATATTTTGTGTGTGGAAATGTCTAGTGGTTAAGGTGTTCTGGGGTAAAAATTTTCATGTTACAATTCTTATATCCTTTAGGAAATTGAGCATCAAGAATATCAGTACATTGTAGATGCAATATATAGAAAGAAATATTTACTTATGGATACACACTGTATGTGGTTACAGAGGAGATGTTTTACTTTCTCTTATCTTTCCATTCACTTACAACTTATAAATTTTTATGTAGACATCACCCACCTTTCCTAATCAGTGTACAATGCAAATTTATTTGAAATGTTGGTAATTTCTTAGTTATAACTCTCTTCAGAGGACACACCATCATGTGTACCTTGCCTAGTTTATCATGAAGTAAAAAAATGGAAAATTAAATTTTTGACTGACTAAACCTAAATTGACTCTTACCCTGACAGCTGCACTCATGTATCAAGAGGTTTTTCTAACTGCTTGCAGTAGACCTTATATTTTTTTATGTCACCTCCCCTGTCACCTCACTGATGTACATCTTCCTCTGGCAGCACAAAAGGGGAACACGTCAGTCTAGCACAGTTGGTCAACTTTATGAATGAGAAACAGCGAGACCCGAGCCTCAATGAAATTTTGTATCCATTATATGATGAGAAGCGGTGCATGCAGATCATCAAAGCCCATGAGCCTAACGAGGAGAACATTGAAAATAGTATGTAGAAGTCTAAATTTTGTTTTAGAGACACTCTAAAATAATATCCAAAGCATGAATAATGTCTTATACTGTATAATGTACATCATTTACCGGTAGTTTTATTTATTTATTTTATTTATTTTATTTTTTAGAGAGATTTAGCAAAGACGGTTTGTTGGCATACCTCATGTCTGATGAGAACGCACCTGTGTTTCTGGATCGTCTGGACATCTACCAAGATATGGACCAACCACTCTCCCATTACTACATCAACTCCTCTCACAACACCTACCTCTCTGGAAGACAATTTGGTGGCAAGTCCACAGCAGAAATGTACAGACAGACCCTTCTTGCTGGCTGCAGGTGAGATCACTTGTATTCTAACATATACAGTAGCTGAAACAACTATCTGTGCATACTTTGTGGGAAACAATATGAGACCATGGACGATAAATTTTGGTATATGAGGGCTGTCACTAGTCACACGTAAAATTTCGGAGCATATTGACCCCCACCTTCATAGATAGTTGTTTTAGTTACTGTACATACAATACTCTGTGATGCTTTTACCTTTTGTGTTACCATGTTGCTGCTCCGTGACTCTTGAATTGGTCTTCTCCCACAGGTGTGTGGAACTTGACTGTTGGGATGGTAAGGGTGAAGACGAGGAGCCTATCATCACTCACGGAAAGGCTATGTGCACTGATATCCTCTTCAAAGAAGCCATCATTGCTATTCGAGACTGCGCCTTTGTTACCTCTGACTATCCAGTTATTCTGTCCTTTGAAAATCATTGTTGCAAGAAACAGCAGTACAAGTTGGCCAAATACTGTGATGAGTATTTTGGAGATCTGCTTTCAAAGGAGGCCCTCCCAGACAGCCCTGTAAGATCTTTCTTAGTGTTTGTATTTAATTTTTCATATATTTCCTATACCTGTAGTGTATGTCCATAAAGCAAAGTGTGTAATGGTAAGACACTATCTATCTTTCTATCTATCTATCTATCTATCTGTCTATCTATCTATCTATCTATCTATCTGTCAGCTTTTGGTTTCCAAACCTTAACTCCAGTTTTCTCACATTATATTGCGTAGGGAACTTACCCCTAAATGTGTGTTTGCTCTCAGTTCTGCCCACGAGACGTGACCGATCGCCCAAGCGGCTAACGAGCCAATCAGTGGTGAAGAGGATAAATAAAAAAGAAAAGATGACCCAACTTTATAGCCTTAGAAGAGTTGGTACAGTGGAAAAAGTGAATCTTTTCTCTGGTTGAAGAAAGGTTTTTATTTGTTTTGGTATTCCATACATCACAAGTCAAGTTCACCATCAGCTTTTGAAGGCAGCCGTTGATTATTGTATTAGTCTTTGGTGGCCTTGGTTAAACAGTCCAAGTTCTCTGCATCTCTTTGGGCATTTTGTGTGCTGTTTTTTAATACTATACTACTGTTGATTTTTGTAGTTTCAGTTTTATAACCTTTAAGAATATATGTACTGTACAGTACTAAGGAAACAGTACAGTTACAGATTTATTCCATACATGATGTACAGTATGTACCCAGCATTGTACTTCCTTAATGCAGTAACTTCTTGTTAAGAACTAAAAGTAATTTTATTGAATTTGATGTCATGTACAGTTCATTTTTAATTTAGTGTATTGTGTAGTTTGTTTTAGATTAATACATTGTAAAGTTCACTTTCATTAGTAAGTTATGTTTTAATTTTCTGTTTGATAGTGTTTGTTCACTTTGAACCTGGAATGTTTTGGTTTAATCAGCAATACTGACTTGGTAATCGTAAAGCAGCTCATATAACAAAAAGTGGTAGTTTGCAGTTGTCAGTTTTTCGTGCAAAAGTTTCCAAAGAGCACTCAACAACTACAGTACGTAGTATGAGATATTAAAAAGTTGCATTTAGACATCTACCAGTATTCCTGAATTACTGTGGACATGCAGTATATTCAAGAACAATGCTGTAGTATGATCAGTGTTTGGTTAAGAAGAACTTCAGGCACATATTAAATTCCATTAGAAAATAAATGAATGTCTTAAGAAAATATAAGTCATTTCCAAGTTGAGTCAGTACACACTCAAAGTTATTTGTAATCACAACTTATGAAGTCTTGGTTTAATTTTTCCACAGTTGGTTCCTGGTCATCACCTTCCATCACCTAATCAATTAAAGAGGAAAATTCTCATTAAGAACAAACGCTTGAAGCCAGAAGTAGAGAAACAAGAGTTAGAATTGTTCTTGAAGGGTCAACTAGATCTTGTGGATGATGATGATGCAAGGGAGGATGCTTCTCAAGCCAACCCACAACCAAAGGAACCTAAGGTGAGGCGAGTCATCATAGATGAGTGAAGTGAGGAATGTATTGGAGGCCTTTGGAAGAACTTAAGTATACAGAAACTTGTCATATTACAGTTGGTCCACCTGAATGCATATTTAACATGTGAAGATAAATTTCAAGTCATCAAGAATTTGAATTAAAAGGAATTAATGATTAGTATTTTAATACTAGGAAATAGTAGAACTGAACAGGCTTGGAATTTCACAACAGCTTAGCCTTATAACACCCACTTTTTGGCCTCACTGTTCTTGACTTATTCTATTTTGAGTGCAGTGTCCCTTATGAATTTCCAGGCCTGTGATGTTAAAAATTTTTAGTCGTTACTTTATGTACCATATATACAGAGTATATACATATACAGTATATATATGCTGATAACCACATAGGAAGCAAGAAAACACGAAGTTCTCAAGCGCTTTTGTGTAATTCACATCTTCAGGGGTGAGTACAGACTAAGGAGTAATATTGGACAAGGCTAATATATACAGTAAAGGAGTGAGATCAAGTCCCTAGGGACAGCAGGTGTCCACCATAATCAGGTCATAAGGTAGGGTGACCCAACTCTTTCACCTGGTTAGAAATCTTCTTTATCACAAAATTGTCCAGTTTGTACATGCCATTACTCAAATTCATGTTGACAGATTCTGGATGTTTAATGAGACTGGATTCTATAATGTTCCTGCTGCCAATTGAATTACAAGGTATTATTGAGGAGGCATTATCCCAGTCAATGCAATGCTTATTATCTCTCATATGAATGAACAGAGCATTGGATTCCTGGCCTGTCCTAACTATATATATGCTGTAAGTCTAGTTGTAAGATCTTTACCCGTCTGTCCTAAGTAGAACATATTACATTCCTTGCAAGGAACCTTGTAAATGCAGCTGCCTGCATTGTTGGGGGAGTTCTTAATTAACATTGTTTTACAGTGCATGAGTTACTAAATGTTGCATTTATGCCCCAGGTTTTCAGTTGTAGAAGAATTTAAGAGAAATTTTTGTTAAAAGGTTTAAAGATTCTTATTGTCATGGGGAGGCTTAGGATCAGTTCTATAAAAAGATTTTTTTGCGATGTTAAAGCATTTGTCTATAAAATACCTTGGGTATTTTAAGTTCAAACCAGTATTATTGATATATTATATTCCTCATCAATGAATTCCGGACTGCATCTTCGTAGAGCACGTAAAATCGTTAATGAGAATACTGACTGTTTGACTCTATTATGGTGGGTTTAGAATAATAATGAATGTATGAACACACATTAGTAGGTTTCCTATAAATACTGAACTTAAAGGTGTTACCTATTCTGTGGATCAGACAGTCTAGCCTTGTCAAGTATTTCTCCTTAGTCTGTACTGAAGATGTGAATTACACGAAAGCGCTTGAGAACTTCGTGTTTTCTTGTTTCCTATGTGGTTATCAGCATATATATGGATCGCGCACACCTACAATAATTTATTTGAATATATACTGTATATAAGATGATGAATTTATGTTTTTTATAGAAGAAAAAAGTGTTTCTGGATGATTTCAGAGATTTCATGATTTTGATTACATCAGTGAGTAAAATACTGTAGTGTAACAAGATGGCACAGCTCAGGTGTATTGTACAGTAAATATGAGTGTGAGGAGCAAGGAGTACTGTACATGTGAGATATTTATATGTGCATTGGCTCAGTGTGTGTGTTTAAGGGTGAGAGGGCTGAGAATTTGTAATGGGAGGGAGTGTGATGGATAAGGAGTTGTATAATGTGTATACATGTACAATGTGAATGCACACTGTATGCCAACTGTATTTCTTATCATGAATAGTACAGTGGGGTATTGTAAAAAAAGATAACATAATTTCAGTTTTGAATTAATAATCTTCAATCATGAATTAGTAAATATGAGTTCAGTTTAACATATGCCAATTAATAGTAATGTATAACACCCTTAACAGCTCAAGGCAATAACAACGAGACGACAGGAAATTTAGTTTATGAATAACAGTTTTATAATGAAAAATTACTTAGACAAAATAATAGAGCATTGATTTGAGTAGTAAAATGCTAACTAGTGAACTGTAGTAAATTATGAGCATTTGTTTAGTTTCACCTACCAAGTTCCAGTTAGTGGAAAATCTTGAAATAACAATGAATTTTATTTGATATCCTTCTATATTTTTTCAAATTCTAATTGAACTTTGATCTATACTCTTCTGACTAATTAACTGACTAATCCTCCTGAGTCTGTCACTTTGCTTTTTATTCTTCAGTTTCCTTTGAAATTCTTGTTTAAAACCTAATCCCCGCAATTTTATAAATAATATTTTGCGTGAATGATTGCCCTCATTTAAATCCTAAAGTAATCTGTTATCTAGTGCCAATAAATAAGTCTGCCCCTCGCTAATCATAAGATACCACTGGTGATGGTCTCGCCTCCATCCAGTACAGTTTGGCCAGAATGACTGCTTGGATACATGCATTTTATGGTTGTAAGTTGCATACAAGTAATCACAGTCGCTTTGATTTGATACTTGAATGTTCATATTTATAATTTTAGTTGTTCATACTATCCTACGTACAATGATTATTTTTATGGTTTTTATCCTTTATAACTTACCCAACATGTATGCACACTTGGGGTATGCACAAGTTGTGTAAACAGATCTCTAATGGCCAAGCAAAATTTAGTATGGTTTCTGATCATATTGCACTTTTCAGCCTGTAGATGTTGTCTGTCTCCCATCCCCTGCCCCTTAATGACCAGACAGTACATATTCATTGTCAGCCATCATCCAATTCAATTTTTATTATACAGCATGATATTTGGTAATACTGTACTGTACTTGATGTCCCTCTTGCTGAAGAGAAGTTACATTGTTCTTACACTATTTATGCTGCCTGTAATTGTACTTGCTCCCCCCCACCCTCCCACATTACCCCACAATACTGTGTAGTATGAAGGCATCCTTTTCCCTCCCTCATCAAGGCTAGAAAGACAAAAGCCATTCCAGCACTGAGTTCTTCACCCTTGCTACTAGCTCGTCTCGCCTCACCTCTCCAGCCTCCGTCTCCTTCTCTGTCCCTCGTAGAGTAACTCGTGCACTACCATCACCACCCCTGTGTCGCAGCCCTCGCTAGAAGATGATAAGCCCCTGACGGCCGAAGAGCGAGCCTTCCTCTACTACCAGTATACAGGCGCCACCACCCACGTCCACCCTGTCCTCTCCTCCTACGTCAACTACTGCCAGCCGGTCAAGTTCCAGGGTTTTGATGTGGCAGAAGGTAACCTTGCTTGCTACTTTCAAGCCTGTCTGCATGGGTTCTGTGCCTGCAATTTTATGTTTGACGGGTTATAATGTTATGAGTTACATCAATGTGTGATTGTAATTTTCATATGGAATTTTTTGTTGTACAGTATAGTATATTCTTTCTTCTTCACACACACACACACACACACATATGCTTTTTCTAACAAGGGTATGTATTACTCTGTCACCATTTCCTAAATAAAGGTATTTTTTATAATACAGTATTTGTGCATTATAGGCACACATTATACAGTATTTTGTAAATTGTTAGTGTGTTAAACTTCATTACTTCGCTGTAGAAGTAAATTGAAGCAGAGTAATATAACAATGCCAGCAAGGGAAGATATGAAAGACCAACTGAGAAAATGGAAACTTGAACAAAAATATACAATACAGTACAGTATTGGAGATCTCAAAATGTGAATATTGTTTTAAAAAATGAACCAACATTAGGTGAAAGGAGAACAAGGTATTTTTATTGCCACAAGAACACGAAAGACATTATAACATAACTTTCTGAGTATTTTACTAACTGACAAATGCAAGTCTCAGATTTAAAGTTGATTTTCATGAAAAGAGAAAATGTATTACCGTCACAAGTACAGTATTGATATACTGTATAAAGCCAAGAGCAGGAGTACTTTTGTGTGTTTCATAATGGGTGCTAGTATTTTTCATCTGTGATTAATATTCCTGTGTATATAATGTGTAAATAGATACAGTATTAAAATTCACCTCAGATGCAAGTTGAATGTGTGTGGCCCAGGCAAAAATTTATCTAAAATAACTCCTTGGGTATGGAACTATTCCTTGTGTGATAGATCCATTAGTGTTATAATAGCCTTGAGATAACCTGGATGACTTGTTAGGCATTGTCAAATTGGGAAGCGTGGGAAGGTTGTGAAGGAAATATGAATAAAAAAGAAAGTTGAGAATTGACATTTAATATAGTACAGTACGTATATATTGTAAAGTGAGAATCATTTCTATACTGTAATTCCAGTGGATGATTAGTGAGGAAAAGTATATACACTGTACGTACATTTGAGAAGATTACCTACTTGAAAGAATAAATTTGGATCTTCTTTGCTAAATATACTGAGATATTTACATGATCAAAAAATGCTGGCTGTAAGGTAATTGGTAAAATTATTTTATTTATTTATTTATTTTTTCACCCCCCAGGCTCTGATGTGGGTCATTGACCTGTGCCCTGGTGGGCTAATCCCCTAATTAAAAAAATAAGTAAATAAATTTGATGATCTGAAGTACTGCATATGCAGTAGAGTATAAATGTAATGAAAGATGACATTCTAGTAAGTGAAAATAAATACTGTTTGTAATGTGATAGACCAGTATGCGGGGATGTACAATGATGTGTGTTTAGAAATTTGGTTGATAAAAGATAAATTTTCGGTACAGGAAACTTAATGAGGGGCAGAATTATTATACAATATTGAAAAATATCATTGTACAAAATAAAAGAAAGTGCCATCACTTTCATTTTTAAATGGTGTTTAATGGCATAACCCAAATACCGTACTGTACAGTATTGTATATTTCTATATTTTTCAGTTCATTTTGTTAACTAACCATTATTTTCTTTCTCTACATTCTATAATATTAAATTTCATATATTCTCATGGTGTCACTGAATTTTCTCCTGACTTACTGTTCTGTCATTACGTTTACCTGCCCACAAAGTGATGTTTCATCAGGCATGTACACAACTTATTCTCCTATTTTGCCTATGATATACAATGATATTTTCTCTACCTGCATGTCTGGCATTCAATTTGTGATACTGTTCATTGCACGGCCCTCTTGCATGTTACTTGTGTGTGTAGCCTGAAGAGAAAAGTGCTGAAGGAGCACCAGAGCCTCCAAAGTACTCTGGCACCTCCTTAACCAACATCCATCCGTGGCTGTCATCCATGGTTAACTATGCATGGCCTGTGCATTTCAATGGTTTTCAAGCTGCAGAAGGTATTGAAGCTTTCACCATATGTACTGGCCATAGAGTACTGCCCCATTTGTGGATGTTCCTTACTTAGACCCCATGCTCAGTAGACTCACACAGTATACATTACTCAGAATGAATTGATATCAGCTTAGTTTCCATTGTTTCTATAGCTTTCAGTATTTTAATTTAGTGGATTAATTATTAAGTATATCCAGGATGTGTTCTGGGTTTCTTGAAGTACAGTACGTAGCTAGTTTTGTACAGCATTGCTTATTATTAGTTGAGGTAATTAGACAGATACAATACAGTACAGTACTTTACAGTGTATGTCTTAGAGAGTTGCTGGAATTATACTGTACAGTACTCTAGAATGCAGTCTTTTAGTTCCATAGATTATTCAGTAGAGTAGTTTATATTTGTAAGCTTTATATTATAAAATGTTTCTGCATTTGTTCATAAGATGGTGAAACTACTGCTGTAAATAAAAATTTTGATCAATTTCCAAAGGATAATAAAAATATGCACATATCTTTACAGGGTTTTGGGAGGAACCAACCACCAGCTAAATTGACATATTCTGCTGCTCTCTTGTCCAATTCAAATCGTTCACAGTACAGTACAATACAGTACAACAATTATTTTCACCCTGAGTTACTGTTATGTGTTCTGTTTGGTTAATGATTCAAACTCTATGATGTATAATTCTTCACAGTATCTGAATAAAATTAATTTTCAATGTCAGTACTGTATTATAAATTCTTTTTATTTAGTTGTATTATATGATCAGTTCATTTATTTTACATTATCTGATTAATATTTCATTCACTTATATTCAGTGTTCAGCTTCTGTTTGCTAGTTAGTGTCATTATTTTTAACCAATGTTTCTACAAAGCCTCAGGTAGCCATGGAAACACTACAGCAGAAGAAGCCCATGGGTGGTCAAGCGGGATAACCTCCCATTAACCCCCCTTTCTCCCACTGACAAATTATTTATTCTTGATTTATCCAATCATTTTCACAAGTTAACCAATATTCTTCACATCTATTATATTCCACGTTACTTTCTCTCCCCACTCATCTCATGCTATATGGACCCAAACCTTACATAACATATAAATCAACCCACATACTCACCTTTATTCCTCTCTTACATTCCTGTCATATGATGTCACATACAATATATGTTTATTTTCAGTGTGTTTTAGAAATCCACAACTTGTGTAGATAATGAATATTTACCACATAATAATTTTGATAAGTGTATTATTATAAAAAAAGAACAGTTTGTAATTGTCAAGACATGAACTCTTTATTTCTAACTTGACAGAGAAAAATGTCCACCACAATATGTCCTCCTTCTCGGAAACTATGGGGTTAGGCTACCTCAAGACTCAGGCAATTGAATTTGTCAATTACAACAAACGGCAAATGTCCAGAATCTACCCCAAGGGAGCTAGGGTCGACTCTTCCAACTATATGCCTCAGGTGTGTAATAACAACTAAACACTTTTGGTCCAAATTTTTTTTGAAATAAGAGTTTTAGTTTTACGAAGTACAGTACAGTACAGGTAATCATATTTCAAAGGGAAGTTTAATAAATCAGATTTGCTAGTTAAATTTACAAGGCATTGCTCTTCTGCCTGTGTATAGCCACTGTTTCATGTTTGTGTTGGGTAGATCAAGGGTTATTAGAAACCTCAAAGGAAGGAATAAATAATGGGGACAGTTGGACAAGACAAGTGCAGAAAGCCATTACAATTAACATTTAATTTATTTTTTCTTCCACAATAGTAACAAGTATCAACTTTCCTAAACCATATTATTTTCCATTAACATACATTCCAAATCATTTTCCAGTATGGTCTAAAGATTATTTAATTTTATGAACACAGGTTGGTGACGTAGTGTTATGGACATGCATGATAGATCAGCAAAAATTCGCATCATAGAATGGTGTACTATATCTCTCATTATCTTCCATATATAGTTTCCAAGTCTTTTCCTTAACCTGTTGGTACAGTATCTCCCCTTTAATTATCTCATTTACCACTTAAATCTGTACCCTAGATGGATAAAAAGGGTCAAAAGGCTAAATTTTTTAAGTCTTAATATTATCTGTTGTCCTCTCTCCATCCCATATGCACAGGCTGGATCAAGGGAAACAGAAATCTAAATAAGGCAGGATATCAGTGTCCAGGAGGGAAGCATGTACACAAAAGTAGAGAGTTATAAGGAAGGTGTACAGAACCTCAGTAAAGGGCTAAAATGGTCAGTAGGAACACACCGCTCACAGTTCATAACATCAGTAAATTCTCCCACTTGTTACCAACCTCCCAGACACCATCACTTTTCATACATACATTAACTTCATCATAAAGTTTCTTGACATTGAACAAACTTCTATGTACCCCATGTTGAATCTCTGTAGGAACTAATATATATATATATATATATATATATATATATATATATATATATATATATATATATATATATATATATATATATATATATATATATATATATATATATATATATATATATATATATATATCTTGATAAAATACGGGAAAATGGAAACAACGGAGCACCTTAGCTTTCGTCTTTATTCAAGACATGTGTGTGTATCTTGATAAAATCACAGATGTCTTGAATAAAGACGAAAGCTAACTATATATATATATATATATATATATATATATATATATATATATATATATATATATATATATATATATATATATATATATATATATATATATATATATATATATATATATATATATATATATACAGTATATATGAATGATGTTGTACTCCATTGACTGCATACCTCCCACAGGTGTTTTGGAATGCAGGTTGCCAGATGGTGTCCTTAAATTTCCAAACTTCAGATCTTCCCATGCAGCTGAATCAGGGCAAGTTTGAGTACAATGGGAATTGTGGATATCTCCTCAAACCTGATTTCATGAGACGTACTGACAAGACTTTTGATCCCTTTGCTGAGTCCCCAGTGGATGGTGTGATTGCAGCACAGGTTTCTGTGTCGGTATGTAGCAACAGTAAAGGGCATTGCTCTTTATCACTCCTTTGAAACATCTTAGCATGTTTCCAAGTTATTCTATGTACCTATACTAGTTTTTTATTTTTTATTTATTTTTTAATTATTTTGGAAACTTTAATTATTATAATTTTCATAAGAAATTTCCAACCAGGATATCATGAAAATATACAGAGGACACAATACTATATAGTTTTTCCTTCTTTATCACTATAGTAAATGCACCAGAACATCTTAAACAAAGGCAGTGCAGGAGTAATTTTGTGCAGGTTCTGGCAGAAATGTAATTACCTTCACTCACATTACATTAAGTTATATATTACTGTACCATCTTACTCATGGTCAACATCACCTTCCTAGATACATAAGCACTATATTATTTCTTGTACTAATTTGAATCCCTTAAAATTCTTCAGGTGATTGCTGGTCAGTTCTTATCAGACAAAAAGGTTGGAACTTATGTTGAAGTGGACATGTATGGCTTGCCTACTGACACCATCAGAAAAGAGTTTAGGACGCGTATGATTCCTGGAAATGGCCTTAATCCCCAGTATAATGAGGAACCCTTCCTCTTTCGTAAGGTGAGGTTTAGGCATCCAAAATGAATTTATATACAGTATATATGTACTGTATGAGTGTAATGGAATGGAAATACACATAATTAAATAACATGTAACTACTAGTATCTGGAAGGTTTTTAATGCATACAGTACAGTACTGTAATTAAGTTTTGATAACAGTAAAACATTTCTAACATGGTATCCAGGATACAGTATTTGAACAGAGTGTACTGTACTGTATTTGCATTGGACAAAGTATCAGATTAATAGTTAAAATGTCAGAAATGTGTATTGCCTGATAGAAATTATGAGAACCCTCTACTGATTTCACCTTAAATGAGCACATCTAGGGGTCATGTGAATTCAGAAATATTGGTTTTTGGGTTATTTGTCTGCAATAAAGAGAAATCAACAAAGAAAAAAGTTAAAAGACAGATGGGTAAACTAAATGATGGCATGGGTCATAACTGTGTACCTCTGGCCACAGATGGTGAGGAATAAGAAGGACCAGATTATTATCTTTCATTAATATTTAAAGGTCATGAAACAGGATGTATATTTTTAGAATTCGGTAATCATACTTGCTGCTCTTATAATAGGTTGTGTTGCCTGACTTGGCTGTGCTGCGATTTGGTGTGTTTGATGAAAATGGAAAGATGCTGGGCCAGAGAATTCTGCCTTTGGATGGTCTGCAGGCAGGCTATCGGCACATCTCTCTACGTACTGAAGGGAACTTCCCCATGTCACTACCTATGTTGTTTTGCAATATTGAATTGAAGATCTATGTTCCTGATGGTCTTGGCGGTAGGTTTACAATACAGTAACTATATATACACTCAGCCAATATTGTGCAAAAGTGTCTTGAAATTACTTTATGGAGGAATGACAATATATGAGAGTTTAAATTGATAGTGTTAATTGAAATATTCAGATATATTGCAAGATTGAGCGATGTCTTCCTTGTTACAGACATCATGCCGTAAGTGATTATTTTAGTTTCTAAAATATCTTGTCAGCTTTAGAAAATTTATTTACTTTATTAGACTTGATGGATGCCCTTTCGGACCCTCGAGCCTTCTTAAGTGCCCAAGAAAAGCGTGAGGAACAGATGAAGGCCATGGGTATTGAGGCTTCAGACATTGATACCAAGGCACTCAAGGGAGGAGGAGGTAAAGCTGGAGGTGCCAAGCCAGCAGCGGGTGCCAAGGCTGGAGCAGGTGGCAAACCTGGGGCAGGTGCTGGTGGAAAGAAGGAGGAGGAAGTCGGTAAGTATTTTATATTATAGACATGTGGATAGAATAGAGGAGGTCAGTTGGGTCAAGAGGTGCATGGGTCTGAATGTGTGGAAGGGAGGGGAGCCAGGGGTAGGCTAAGAATGGCATGGGGAGAGGTTGTAAAAAATGACCTAAGGTAGAAACCTGACTAGAGAGGTTGCATGGAGAGATTTCATGGATAATCATTGCTAACCTATGCAGGTGTAGAAAATGGTCATAAAACAGATGAAAATGATCATTATCATCATAAAGGAATCTATGAGTGACAAATGGCATGCTTGAGAGTGATATACTGTACTGTATAGGGTGAATGGGACAAAATGCAGAAATCAAATGGGTACAGTATGTGGAAGTGAAAGCCAACAAGTATCTGTTGAAGTGCTATGGACATATTGAAACAATGGGAAATATTGGTAAAATAACAAAAACATTGTGTACATGTTATTCAGTAGTGGATGGCAGGAGGCAGGTGAAAGATTTAAGTGAAGTACAACAGGTATCTGCCGTTTGGCAATCGTTCACTTAGCAATAATTCGGTTTAGCGATTTAAAATTTCTAACACCCGTGGTTATTTAACAATCTGCAATTGTTCAGTTTAGCGATCTTCAACTCAGTGAGGAACATATTTTCAAGGCTGATAAAAGCCCACTTGGAAAGGGAGCTGCTATATAAGATACTACCTATGAATCAACCAACCTGAATTTTAGAAATAATTTCGGAAATCATTATCAACTTTTCCATCAAAAAACATAAATTAACTTTTTGATAACCAGAGGGGGTACCTATCTAGGTTTGTTATATAGAAATCGCATATTGTAGGGATATGCTACCGGCACACCACCTACCCTGCCTTTGAACATTGCGATCTGTGTTTTACTATACTGTATTGCTCTGTATATTTTTGAACACTGTGCACCGTTCTTATTGCTCTGCATCGCAGTTATTGTTGTGACTTTGGTGTGTTATTGAGTACTGTCCGGACTGTTCATTACCCTGTACTATTGTGATATTGTGTACTAAAGTGATTGCTCCTCCCTCCCCCTCTGCTCTTGTCGACTAACAGGCAGACCAGTTAAGACCTGTTTACTGTATTCCCTTTATGTTTTTGTCTTTAAGAGGATTATTTTTTATTTTATTTTATTTTATTTATTTTTTTTTGCACATTCTGTATAAACAATGTGTGTGCATGTAACAGAGTACAAGAAAATTTGTACATCTACCCAAAATTATGAGTTGAAAAATAGCATATCTCACAGTTCAACCTCACCCGCTCTGAGTGCTACTGGGTGGCGAGTCGGCCAGGCAACTCTGCTACACAATTATGTGCCATATGCATGAATTTTATTCCTCGTTATCCCTTGTTTAAAATATTATTTTTGTTTTTATTCACTCAGCAAGCAAATCATGTTGCGAGATCCAGAATGCAGCAGTGTACAGTACTTACAGTACATGATAATCAAGCATGGTGTCAGATGGTTTATGAGGATGTCCCACTAGAGAAAATGGATGATTTCTCTTGATTCCAGCCAACCTGCAGTATCATGTTATTAGTGGCTGGGATGCTATCAATACCTGTGCTCTTTTAGAAGAAAGTCCTCTGTCACTGTGTGGAGTTCATACTGTCTGGAGTGACACCTTTCTTTCTGGAGTGGGATGTTAAAGCTTCTGACCCCACACTGTAATTGTTTGAGGCTATCAGCAATAGTTCAGCTAAAGATTTGGCAATTCATGTATAAAGGGAATCAAAGTGGTTTGCAGCTTCAGATGCAACCAAGTTACCACTGTACCACCAATATCCTTCCTTCTGTATGATGGTCATTCTCTTCTTTTACAGTTGAATATGAACCCATCAACCTTGAAACACTTAGATCACAAAAGAATTTCCTGAAAGCAACCAAGAAGCAGCAGAAGGAACTGGAAAGTATGAGAAAAAAACACATGAAGGAGCGTTTGTCTATTCAAAAAGCACAGTGCAGTGCCATTGAGAAACTGGCAAAGGGTAAAAAGTTAGTATTTTATTGTTTGTTAACTCTCACTCACTCTCTTCCCCTCCTCCTCCCCAGGGTAAATTTTATATTCCCAAATCACATTTAATATTCTATTTGCTCATATGGTCTTCACTGTAATAGGAAAAGAAGAATTGCCAGCCAAAAGAAGGTGTATCTTGTATTGACTGTTTTTAATACTACACTGTACCCTTGTGAATTCGACAAAAGGGGGCTCTGGGTCACCTGAATTGCCGAAAAATCTGAATTAACCGAGTTCGGAATATTTTTATATTACAGTACTGTATTCGACAATTTCTAAATTTCTATGTTCGATTATTCATTTGTTTTCTCTTCAGTTTTTGCACCTAATTCTTATAGGAGAGAGCAGAAAGCAGCATAAAAGGGCTGAAACAAATAGAAATAATTCACACATGATTCTCCAAGGACTGACTATCAAGGTTTAACCGAAATGTAGGGGAGATATTTTTACTTGAATTTCCATGCTTTGAATACAAGGTGGATACTGTACAGTATATGCTTTTTTTTCTTTAGAGATGTAATGGATGATCCAAAAATCAAGTCATTAGTGTCAGAACAAATGAAACAGTGGTCTGAGATGATGGAGAAGCACCGAAAGGAGGAATGGGAAATGTTGAAAGAACATCTTAAGAGTCAGGAGGATATATTAAAGAAGCTCATGGAAGAAGAACAAGCAGGGCAAATAAAGAAGATGGAAGCAAAACATGAACAGTAAGTTATTCCAAATTTATATGTAACTGTTCACCAGACATACCATAAGTTTCCCATTCTTGCTTAGGATAGTAATTATAAAATTGCAAAAAAAAATGCACCTTAAGGTTTAATCACTGAACATTATTATTTATTTATTTATTTTTTTTTACTTTGCCTATTTACTATTGACCTTGTAACTGTTTTTATCTTTATTAGTGTCTTGGTCTAAGACAGGGGTGTCAAACATGCGACCCTGCGGCCCGACACCCTCTTACATGCGGGCCGCTGCTCACTGGCTGCTCCAGCTGCACCTTGAGCAGCTAAGAGCCTAAGACAGCAGCACTTGAAGTAAAAAGTTAAGATTTTGTACATATCAGATAATACTCTTTTAGTCTATTGACTATCTATTCTATTGAGTCTGTTTAAAGGCAAGTGCTTGTATGTAATTTGGGTAGTCGCGATATAAAAGAATCTTTATAAAAAAATATATATATGCCGAACCTACTATACCGGTATAAGATGTAATAGCTCTGCAGGACTAGTACCCATGGGCAGTCACACGGGTACTGTTCCTGCATAGTTGCTCAAGGCAGTTGGAGCATTGCAAATATCAGAAGCAGTGTCCATTGTTTTTACTTTTGAGCCCATAATCATGTTATCAAAGAAAAGAACAATTAATGACGAGCATCGGGTAGTACAGGAAGAGTGGAAAATCCTGTACTTTTTTGTTGAAGTGAATGGAAAACTGACATGTTTAATTTGAAAGCAACAGATACCTGTTGCCAAAGATTACAACTTTTGAAGGCATTATGGCACTAATCACGCTCTGAAGTATAATAAATATAGTGGCAAGTTACGTGAAGACAAAGTTAGAGTTTAAGCAGTTATCGAAAAAGCAGCAATCAGTATTTAAGAGTATTCACCAAGTCAGTGATGCTGCAGTTAAGGCAAGTTACAGGATTGCCCATGAAATAGCTGTGTCATTGAAGCATTTCCAAACATTAGCCTCTCAAGAAATATAGTTGCAGAGAGAATTAATGAATTATCAGAGAATATTAACAGTCAACTCAAAGACAAAGTTATGTCCTTTACTGCATTTTCTGTTTCAATTGATGAAAATACCTGCTTTATTGAACCTCAGTTACCCGGAGATTAGAGCGCCTGCCACCACCTAGCCTATACAGTCAACCCTCGCTTTACTCGGTCCCACATTCCACGTTTACACGGTACCCTGCCGAAACTGGAATGCTCACATTCCGCGGTGCGTGTACCCTTTTACGCGGAGAGCGGCTGGCGAGCCGCGCCATTTTTGGATCCAAACCTCTCGCCCTCTCCCGCCATCCGCCATGTTGTGTAAGCGGCGCGAGCAGGGTGCGCACAAGGTCGCCCAGTCATCAAAACATTACCGAGTTCTTCACCCGCCACCCACCACAGCCGGCCCAAGTCAGTGATAGTGATAATTATAGTGAGGATATGGACTTATATGGATTGTGAGGGGTTTGACAAAGAGGCCCTGCAAGCCTCTGTGGTGGATAGTGATACAATTGATACAAGTGATACAGGTGAGGGCCAATAATTAATCTGCCCTCTGCCTCGGAACCAACCCTCCATCCCCGTGTGCCCAGCCATCTTTTCTACTAATGTAAGTGTTAAAAAACCTAATATTATTGATATTTCTCTTAATTATTAATTGTGTGTGCATACCATCATAAAATTAAGAAGTTATTTTTACTACAACGTAGGTATTGTGTCTGAAAAAGTGGAGTTTGGGGGTCGGCCCGGTCTCTATTTCAATTAATCCCATATGTTATGTTGTTCACTTTACGCGTTTCTCACTTTCCGCGGTATCCTGTGGTTGAATCAACCGCGTAAAGTGAGGGTTCACTGTACTACAGATGGGCGAGGGGCGACATAAACGAAATGTATAACATCTCAGGAGGAACTACTCAGTCTAAAGTACATACCAGGAGCTGGCAGACGTTTGCCCCACAAGGGGTCACAGCTCAAGTTTGAAGAAGCCGCATGTCCAGAAAACCGTGAGGACGAACTTTTTTGGAGTGAGAATTGTGAACTCTTGGAACAATCTGCCAGAGAACGTTGTGACGGCACTGAGTGAGCTCATTCAAGGCCAGACTTGACCAACACTGGAGCAGGTTCCGATATATACAGGAGCCAGTGCATGCCCAATACTTGCCAACACTGCATATCAGAAACATGACCGACCGCCCAAGCGGCTAACGAACCGATCAGTGGCAAAGAGGATAAAACAAAAAATACTGTATAAATGTAACTGATGTAACACAACTTGCAGTTTTTATATGTGGTGTGGATGAAAATATACAGTTAACAGAAGAGTTTGTGGAACTGGTACCAATGAAAGGAACAACAGGTGATGACATCTTCGTGAGTTTGGTAGGGGGTACTAGATAAATTAGGTCTTGACTGGGTACAAATTGTGAGTGTGGCTACAGATGGAGCACCACAAATGGTGTGTAGAAAAGCTGGTGTGGCAAGAAAATTAAAGGAAAAACTACTAGCTGTGAACCCAAACCATCAATTTCATAATTTGCATTGCATTATACTGTACATAGAGAAGTGTTGTGCAGTAAAACATTAAAGATGGATAATGTCATGGATATCGTTATAAAGACAGTGAACTTATACGAGCACGAGGTCTGAACCACAGACAGTTCAACTGCTATTGGGGGAAAATGAGAACACTCACGGACTGCCATACCACACTTATGTTCATTAGTTAAGTCGTGGAGTCCTACTGAAGCAATTTAATGAATTGTGTAGTGAAATACAGATGTTTACGGAACAGAGAGGAAAAGGTGTATATGAATTGAAAAATAATGAATGGATGGATATTACTGAGCATTTAAATTACCTGAACATAAAGATGCAAGTACACAATAAATTGGTATCAGAGTTTTATGACTGCATTTGTGTCTTTGAGATGAAACTGCAGCTTTTTGAAAGGCAACTTGCAGAGTAATCTTTCACACTCTCCGACCTTAACGTCCCTGCAAGGCACACCTGAGCTTCATGTTCATACCAACACAGAAAAGTACTGTATCAAGATTTCCATGTTAAGGAATGAGTTCCAAGAAAGATTTGCTGACTTTAAATACCTTGAGAAATATTTTTCCATTTTCAGAACCCATTCTCTGTCAGTGTTAATGAGGTACCAGAACATCTTCAGTTAGAATTAATTGACCTCCAGTGTGATTCTGTTTTGAGGAACAAGTTTTCAAGTGTCGATGTTGGCACATTTTATCAATATGTGGGACCAAATTATCCCAGGATTAAGTGTTTTGCCTCAAAGATTATGTCCATGTTCGGAAGTACGTATGTTTATGAACAGCTCTTTTCCGTAACGAATGTTAACAAATCTCAGCTTTGTTCTCAACTTACTGATGCACACCTGAATTCAATACTGAAGGTTGCTGCAGCCCAGTCATTAGCTCCAAACTTTGATGCCAAGGTGCCAAGTATCAGGGAGCAGCAGTAGCAGGAAATAAGACTAATCAAGGTAGCTATATATTATTCAACACATAGCACAAGTAGGTTTTTGTTTTTTGTTTTTTTGTTTTTTTATAGAGAGAGAGCAGCTTCGTGCTTGCCCTTTGGCAGGGAGGCTTGTCCCTCACTCTCGAGTAGACTACACCTCAACAAACAGCGCCTCTAGTCCTGTTCCTGCATCCACCTCTCTTATTTTGCCGCACTATTCCCCGAAGGGACAATCGCAAAGTGCTCATAATTATTTTACATGGCCCTCATAGTGTGTACTAATATTAAATCTGGCCCGCCGTAGCAAAGAAGTTTGACACCCCAGGTCTAAGATGTCGACCCCGTTCTCTAAACTTACTATGTTATATTCTAATTTCTTTTGAGCTGACTTTTTGTTGTTACATAAACTTGAGGCATTCTCCAGACTAAAAGTCTGAGTTTCAATACTGTACATAAAGAAATTAAAAGAAATACTCTCTGAAACCCATGTTCTTTTGGCTTTCCTGCGAGAGATAACTCTTGGATAAATTATACAGAATTAATCATGATTTTGGGCAAAACAATTATTTCCCATAATCTCAAGCACAGGGAATTACAAGTTAACTATGTAGTGCTGGGAAGTGTGTAACTAAGTAGTAGGTAGCTATCAAATGGAGGTACTACCAGTACCACCTGGGAGAATATTGGAAGCATAATGTGTTGTCTAATGGTAGACCCTACTGCCATATGGCATCACAAAAATTGTGACCAAGTCCCAGGTTGCCGATCTGACTTTCTGCCTCATTTACACACAATTGCAGGGTTTCATTTGTTTCTCTTGCTATTGGCAACACAACATACTGTATATCGTTTCTCACTCTTGATTTATTTTTTCGTTTGTGTATTTATTTATGGTTATTATTATTAGTATTTTAATTTTTTGGCTATAATTTTTATCTATTTTTATTAATTATTATTAAATATTATTATTATTATTATTAGTATTATTATTACTGTATTATTATTATTATTATTATTATTATTATTATTATTATTATTATTATTATTATTATTATTATTATTATTATTATTATTATATTTTTGCCCCCCAGGCCCTGATGTGGGTCATTGACCTGTGCTCGGGTGGTCTACTCCCCGTAAAAATAAAGAAAAAATATATAATACCGGTAGTTACTAACCAGTTCTGATAACTTGCTAGCCACTTGGATGCTTTATATACTCTTATCAGATTTCCGTTACCTTCCCCAGCCTCTCACATATTTTCTAGCTTTAAGATCATTTGCATAATACTTATTAAAGTTGAGATTTATGCAGAAATTAGTTGAACAGGGTACAATGTATATAAAATTAGTACATTAGTACAGAATTATTGTATAAAAAACAGTTATTCATCTTTCTTGACTCCTGCCTGTGCAAGGTCATTCAAACATCCATCTAGGGCTTAATCTGAAGTAGTGTTTTTCCATACTTTTTACTTTTACTTTTATCCTCTTCACCACTGATCGACTCGTTAGCTGCTTGGGCGATCGGTCACGTCTCTGTTTCAACATGTTGGATGCGTGGGTCTTAGTGTTGAATAGTGGCTGAGTACCTGTAATTCAATACTGCTGAAAAATATTAAAATTATTGTGATCCAAATAAGTGAAGGGAGTGTTAAATAGATTTGAGTGTATTTACATATCTAAACCTGCAGTGCATCTTATACTCACTGAATTAATCTGCATACATGATCATGGGCACGCTAATAACCACCACTTCTCTTGTTTCTAATATAGAAGTGAGTTTAGTTACAGATTCAATTCAACAACTGATTATCATGGTGTGTGTGTGCTATACGGTTTATTAATAGAGTTGCAGCCGGTGGCTGAAAATATACAAACTTACATGTGATTGTGTGTTTTTTTTTTTTTTTAAGGTTGAGTGTTTCTTTAGATTTCATCATATTAACTTGCAGGGACATGAAGGATATGAAGGCTCAGCAGGCTAAGGCGGCTATGGAAACAGCTAAAGATGTCAATCAAGACAAGACCCTTAAAACTAAAGCTGATCGTGATCGTCGTCTCAAGGAGAAAAATCAAAACAACACCAAGAGATTTATTGAAGAACGTAAAATTTCTGCTATGAAACAAGGAAAGCAGAAAGAGAAGCTTAAGAAGGTTCATGACCAACAGATGACAGAGCTTACCAAAGATATTCAAATGGTTTGTTACCTGATTTCCTTTTGTTCTCTAAGTTACGTGGTGGCAACGTCAGCTAAGCCTTCATATTTGCTCTTTTCCTTTTGCCAACCATGTAGAAAATACAGTACAAGTTAATTAGTTTAGTAAATTACCATGTATCTCATAATTTTTAAAATGCTGTACAGTAAACCCTCGAAGATCCGGACCCGGGAAATCCGGATTTCAGAAGATTCAGGCCAAAAAATTAGGGGTTCTGGGCCAAGAAGCATTCCCAAACAGGGTGAAGGTAGTTTTAGGCTTAAAGTTTTTTCTCATAAAACGTCACAGACTAAAATTAGCAGAATATAACTTGCATCGGTGGAATCCTTGCAAGACAGCGAATAATTGGAATATAGATTTTGCACAAGAGATAAAAAAATTTTCCTTTAGTGTAGTACATTTAAGTACAAAATTTTCTACTCATATTTTTGGGTAGATATACATAACTTTGTTCATTTATTTGTACTCATTTACATGCACACACCATCTTTAATATGTGTAAAAGAAATAACTGTCCTAGGGGCAAACCTGTACTGCACTCAAATGTACTAAATAATTACTAAATTTTTTATGTCTAGTGCAAACTATAGCATGTTTATATTCAAATTAATCAATATCTTACAAGAATTCCAGCAATGTAAGTTATATTCTCCCAAGTCAGTTCAGTGACATTTTATAAGTGAAAAACTTACTCTCTCTATATGACACATAAATAAATACTCTCTAGGTAACCTTCGCTGCCAGCTGTCAAAACATTTCACCTCACCTCCCCTCCCCCTCAGGGTGAAGGTGGTTTTAGGCTTAAAGTTTTTATCTTATAAAATGGCACATACTAAACTTAGCAGAATATAACTTGCATTGCAGAAATCTTTGCAAGATGGCGAATAATTTGAGTATAGACATTACATATTTTGAAAAAATATATAAAAATTTTAGTCCTTTAATGTAGTACATCGAGTACAAATGAGGACAGTAATATTTTACTCAAAATTATGGCTTTTTCACAGGAAAAAGTCTGTATGACGAATGCCAGTAGTCAGGATAAATATGTACATGTACTGTATTTTTGGTGTTTTTTATATCATTATTTATCGTTTTTATACATTTTATACATTCGGCGGAAGATTCGGACAATCTGCTTTTCCGGACAGGTGGTCCCCCCTCTTATTCCAGATCTTTGAGGGTTCACTGTATTATTTTGCTTGGTAGTGTATGCTTATAGACTAAGAAGTAAATATACAGTACAGTATTTCTTATTCACCTTATATGCTCATACTCTATCATTATTTCATCTGTGTCACTTTATATATATATATATATATATATATATATATATATATATATATATATATATATATATATATATATATATATATATATATATATATATATATATATATATATATATATATACATACATACATACAGTAAAACCTCAGTAAATCGGACTTCAATATATTGGAATTCGCTTTTTTCGGACTCTAAGATGCTCTGGTCATCAGAAATACTAAAAAAAAAAAAAAAAGTTTTAACAAATGGGGAAGATTAATAAAAAATCATATGAAATGAACCACACTTATTGAATACTGTACAGTGGTATAATCAGATTTGCTACAAGCCTACTTGAGTAGGTATGTAAGCCGGCTGGGGCTGATCAGGTGTTGCTGCATTTGTCAGGTTTATTTATTTATTAATTCAGACTGTCAGTTGGTTGAAAATGTTCAAAGGAGGGCCACCAGGCTGGTGCCTGCACTTCGGCACCTCAGCTACCCTGAGAGATTGGAGCGCCTGAACTTGCCTTGCTTATACTACAGACAGGCAAAAGGGGACCTAGTTGAGGTGTATAAGCATCTCAGGGGGCACTACTCAGTAGAATGTCCTAACTTGGAGCTGGCGGACGCTCGCCCCACAAGGGGTCACAGCTCAAGATTGAAGAAGCCGCAAACTTTTTCGGAGTGAGGGTTGTAAACTCTTGGAACAATCTACCAGAGAGTGTTGTGACGGCACCGAGTGTGAGCTCTTTCAAGACAAGACTTGACCAACACTGGAGCGGGTTCAGGTACATTCAGGAGCCAGTGCATGCCCAGTATTTGCCAACAGTGCGTGACAGAGACGTGACCGATCGCCTGGGCGGCTTGCGAGCCGATCTTTTTGTGAAGAAGATAAATGAAAAGGAAAAGTAATCAGAGACGTGACCAATCGCCCAAGCGGCTAACAAGCCGATCAGTGGCGAAGAGGATAAAAGTAAAAAGTATTATATTCTCATATGATTGGCCTTTTATGGTTCATCATGATTAATATAACATCTTCAGTAATAGAGAAAAAATACAATACTGTAATACTGCAATTTGTAATATGGCTTTAAAATAAAAGGATAAGTTGTATCAGAAGGTTATTTACTCAAGATGTGTTCGTGCGAGAGCTTGCAGTGGATTTCTCCCCTACAAACGCTGTTTGTCGCTGAGTAGCCGACCCCGCGAATTCCCCAGTGTATGCCTCGTGGTCTAGGTCAACCAGCTCCGCCTTACATGACGGAGGTCAACTACTAAGCCACGCCTACCTCCGCTATTTAAGACCTGACCTCGTGGTGACCACTCTCTTTCTACCTACACCAACCAGCAAGCAACACCTCCTCCTCCGCCTGCCTGGCGGTCCTCGCTCCCGCCGGCGAGCATGGCGACCCACAAGCTGGTCCTCCTCTGAGCATCCTCACCAACCAGCTCTCTCTACATCACGCTTGTAACCATGCTGCCTTCCCAGCACCAAGCTGCATTGTACATCCAATACAACATGTATACAGAGAGCACATTGTGAGTTTCCTGTCTCCATCCCATTCTGAGTGTGAACCAAACAACCCGTACCCCACAAGCTTTCAACAGACCAGCTTACACCAGGGGTCACTATAACACACTGTATAGTGTTTGATATGAAGATACCTTCCTGAAAATGCTATTTACTACCTTTGAGTGTTAGATAATGGCTCAATTTGGCTGCTTGTACACTTAGACAAATGATTAATGAATAAACCAGGGTATATGCTAGTGCATAATACAGTAGTGTATACTACAATATTACTTATTAAGTAATGATAAATACACTACACTAGTATTTATTAAGTGGTGGTAAATACACTGCAATAGTATTTAAGTGATGCTAAATACACGACTGTACTGGACTAATTTGCTTAGTGTTGAAAACAGACATTCTGGTAAGCTTATCAGCTGTTTGCCCTTTGTAAACAAATGACTCGTGGTGTTCATTGTGGGAATCTTTTTTCAGGAAAGCTGATTTTTTGGGGATAATATTTTATCAACCTGGCACTAAATGATCCTAAATTATATGAGAAGTGTGGTGAAATTGCATAAAGAAGTGTTAAAGAAATCTTGGGGGAGAGAGGGGAAGCAACTCACCCCGGTCACGCGTGCTACCCCCACTCCCTCTGCCAGCTGCTCCCAGAGTAACACTCATCTTCCACATACAATATACTCCAACACTTATTTGTTCTTATTTTTATCTTTATAGCACTGTACAGTATACAGTTTTCTCTTTATTCATAAGACAAATTCTGTGGTTATTTACATAAAACACTTCACAGTACCGGTAACTGATTTTCTTTAAACAGTTCAGATAAGCAGTGTTATCAACCCCCCCGACCATATATTGGCTTTTTTAGGACTCACATTTTTTGGACTGGGGCCTGCGCTAATTAGTCTGATGTATCGAGGTTCTACTGTATATATATATATATATATATAAAATAAAGTAAATAAGTAAGTAGAGTAAAAGTATTTACAGTACTGTACCCTATATTGCATCCTGTTTCTCACACTCTAAGAAGGGTGTACATACTACAGTATGTGCAAATTCCTTATCTCCATGCACTTGCATATCATCAAATATTCATCATTTTACTTAAAAGTTCCTCTGAATTGTTTGCATGTAAAGTGAAAACTCCTTATACAATAAGATTTTTTAGTTTGAAGGAAAGGGGACAATTCTATGACAGGAAGATGGGAAGTATTACTCTGATTTGAACTCAGTTGACCAAAGGACATCACTGAAAATTAATATACTGAACAGTACTGTACCTCCATTTTGAGAATAGCCTCCTTTGGTTTTATCTTTTAATGTATGCCCATTAGTTTTCCTTTTATTTTAAATCTTATTAGTACCGGTATTTATAGAGAATTTAGTTACAAAAACTTTCACGACTTGCAGAATCAGTTGGTAGCTACCAGTATGTGGAGAGGCACCTGACGTGCCTGCACTCCGGCACCTCAGGTACCCAAGGTACCCTGAGAGGTTAAAGCGCCTGTGGTTGCCTAGCTCTTACCATAGATGGGCAAGTGGTGATTAATATAAGTTTATAAACACCTCAGAGGACATTAGGCCAATACTCAATTGAGTGTTAATACGTGGAACTAGCGGATGCCTGCCCCAATAGAGGTCACAGCCTTAGGGTAAAGAAGCCACAAGTTAAAAAATTGACTGTTAGTTTTGATGACAAGACAAATTTTTTTTCTATATATTGTTATGTATCACAACTATATAGAAAATATTATTCATGTCAAGTTTAACAATGCTCAATGTTATTTTGTAATCTGTTTTTCCAGGCCATACAGTTCTATGAGAACACTGAGGCAGAGTACAAGATGTGGAATAAGATGGAATTCTTCTGTTGAGACTTGCAACAACTGCATATGGTCATTCACACCAGCCTCAGCCTCCCATCATCCCCTTCAAATATCCTCTGTTTGTGTCTTATTTCTGACATCACATTTCATTAACTTTTAAGCTTTAGTATGCAACATTTCATGTACAATAATTCTAACCATAACCAACCATAAGCCATTACATATAATTAACATTAAGATCCCATATTGATCAGGGTACTGTATTTAGTGCTCTTAATATGTGCAGCATTTGGGAATACAGTATTCATGTTGTTCACACTTATATATTATTTATTGGATCATCTTCATCACTCAACACTCGCACACGGATGCATTCACAAATACAGTGCAGTACATGTACTGTGTATGGATATACATATACAAATATACACTATATTTATCTTACCCTGATTAAGACAGAAACAAAATATTTACAATAATTACAAGTTAAAATACCAAAATAAACCTCATTTTTTGTTCTAAGTTTCTAAAAATACTAATAACAGAAGCACTTCCAATTACATTTTAGTAACCAGGAAACTGTAACTATAATAACACATCTGTAGCTTCAGTCACACTAAGCAAATACTGTACATTACTTTAATAACTAAATCAGTTCAACATAAAAGCCTTGCATAAGTGTTTTATAATAAAGTTTCAGCTTAGAGTAGTATAAATGCTCATGGGGTATTTGATGGATATTTATAGTAGTTACCCAGTAGACACAAATCAACTACCCCATCTGACTAAAAGCGGGTGTTCTTTGGGCACCGTGATCTGGTCAACAATAATAGGGCCTTTTGAAGATGACCTATAATTGATTGATGTACTATATTGGCAATAAGATATTTTGATAAGAGCATGTTAATTTTATTTGATGTTGGTAATTTTTATTCATGATGAGGTTTTTGTTCTGCAAAGTAAATTGTCCTAGATATATTTTTGCCATCAAGAGAAGGCTCGAGCTTTTGAGCATTGGTCAGTAGTGAACATTTTATAAAGGCTTTATGGCACTCTCAGTGTCTTCATTACATAATTAGATAGTATTGCATTTTCATAATATTTTTTGACCAGGACTAGTTAAGTGTATAAAGTTTTTAAACTTTCCACTTTCATGAGCACGTTTCAGTATTTTTTAAGTCAAATCTAAATATAACATACTGGGATATGTTATATACCGGTAAGTAATTACTTCTAGGATTTCCACTGGTTAGTGTACTATGTTTTATGTTGTCTATTTAGTGAATATTTATCATTATGCATTCCTCTGTTAATCTTTAGCGAGATTGTATGACAAGAAAATTCTGCTTAGGATGTTATGAAAATACTTTTAATATTTATTAATATAAAGTATATATATATAATTAATGTTAAATTTATTTTAAACAGTTGAGTATTGTGACTTAACAGTATGTTATTGCAAACTGATTCATTTTCAGTTTTAGATAAATTTGCATATAATGCTTTTGATTTCCTGTATGAAAGTGTATGTAACCTCTAGTCTTGTTCTAGTCAATTTGATAAGAGTTTATATTTAGATAATATTATATACATATATATACATATATATATCTATATATATTTATATATTCACTGCATATGTAAGATTGCTTCCTCTGTAGTGCCAAGTATTACTGTGAACATGAAAAATATTATTAACAGAATCAGTGAATGTGATCCAGTTGTCAGGTTTTAATAAGGTCCAAACTGCACCTGACAATACAAATATGATCAGCCTTAACAGTGTGTGCTAACAGAGGGTCAGTTCAGGTGATTGAAGTATTTTTAAAGTCCACAGTAGCTTCTTAATTTTATTTATGTTCTCCTTTTGTATAGTTCAGTATGAGTACTATTTAAATAGATAAATCCATTATTGAAGTTAATGGTTAAAATACAAAAAATCTTAATGATGCCTTTAGGGGCTGTTTCTATAAGCAAAGCCTTGCTATATAAATACAGGTATTAGTGCAATTGGCAAAAGCTATAGAGTTGCAATTTCCATTGTTTTATTTATATAAGATACATGATAGGTGGACTGAATTATTTTCACCAGCAAAGGCTATATGAGCATGAAAACAGTGGAAGAGACACTTGTATGTGTTTGTGAAAGATGAAAATTTTTTACTTATGGAATCCTATTCTTACTATAGATGAATTACACAAGTTGAAAGTTTTCATCTTGAGACATACACAAGAGGATGTCGTATCTTGATGTATTTTGAACAGTATTTACCCATAGGCGATTTTGCCAATGTGCCAAAGAATCAAAGTTTCCATCCTCATGGCATAATGCCCCTGGGCCGCAGAGTCAGCCAGTATTTTTCTACCTTTGGATAATAATGAGGGTATTTTTATCATCGGTGTTTAGATGGTGAATTACGTCCATTAATGGTATAGTAGATATTTGTTTTGAGTTACTGTATGTAGAAGAATGGCAACACTTTAAACCATGGCAGAGTTTAGGCATGAAATAGGAATTATTTTATGAAAAGAAGATGGAATAATTGTGTTCTTTGCTTCTCGGAGTTAATATATGACGCTGGTGTTGATGCAGGTGCTCGCCAGTGTGTACAGGGGTGCAGGAATCATGGTGAGACCATTTACATTCAATAACGTGCCTATATCAACTTGCCATCTGTCAGACCCTGTACCATTCATGTTCACATGCTGCACTTTACTTGTTTCATCAAAATAATTATACAGTACTGCACATTATCAGTCTTAATGATCATAGAAAGCAAACATTACAAAACAATTATGTGATGGTAATTTTGTGCTATTGTTCTTTCATTGTCGGATATAACAGAGTCAGTACACCTGATCATTTTTTTCATGAATTTTCAACACAAGTATTTATTTTTTCGCAAAAAGATAAATCAAAATAACAAATCAAATAAATTTGAGAATTGCCATTAAATACTTTTCATTTTATTTTCACTAAGTTTATATGTTCTTCATTTCTCAATGTTGTTGGCAACAGCCTAGTTTGTCTTGATCAACTGTGGAGGTTATGCAGTGTGAGAAATTACCAGCTTTCCCTTTCACCCATTATAAATTGTTTTGTCACATTCGTATTAAAGTGCCACTAACAAGCATTCAGAAACTCCACTTCTTTTAGATATTAACTCTGTCTTAATTGTTCACCTTTAAACAATTCTCCAAGCTACTGATGCCTTCCTTTTTTAAGGTGTTCTTCTTGATTCCATCTTCATAACTATTGTACTTGCTGAAGCAACTAACAATCTTTCCGTATTTTTTTTCCTAGTGCAAACAAGTGGTGCCTGCTTGATATATTATCTGAAGCAAATTTAAATTCTTCAGTAGGCACTATGAGCGTTAGTGTTGGGTTTTAAAAATGAGGAAGTGTGAACACCACCAATAGCCTAATTGTTGAGGGAGGGGAAATTTTTTTTACATACCACCCACTGTGAATGTAGAAAATTGATAGATAACAAATCTTGTGTACAAATAATAAAAAACAAAATCCACGGGTTGAGGCAGACATGAGCTCTGGTGGGAGAGCAGGTAACTTAGACTGATGCCTTTAATCTCTTAAGTAACTATGGCTTAACAGCTTTGTAGTAGGAACTAAGTTTGTCTTAATATATATATTTTGGCCCTTGTTGAGTATCAGTGAATCTGTCATAGTAAAAACAATATTTTCCTCACTGTGTGTAAGTTCAGTATGACCAATGAAAACACCATTTTTTGGCTACAACTTTGCAAATGGGGAACCTGATTTATTGTGGAGATATTCCCTTAAGGTCTGGTCAAGAAAACTGGATTAACAGAATTTATAATTAACTAATTTCCATGGATGAAATATTTGTGAAAATTTTTCCTCTAACCTTACCTTCAGGTTAGAAAAATTAAAGTAAAATGTTAAGCAAAGATGTGCCATCATGGATGTGGGGAGTGTTGCCCATATTGAAAATAAAAAGTTATCAAATTATTGAGAAAACTATCATCAAATACTAAAGTGACCAGCTAATTTATGTTGTACATGTAAGTCATATGAAATTAATTATCTTGCCTTTATTGTGAGCAAGAATATCACTAAGAGGTGATGATTTTGCCCTGACTCTGTGCAGTACAGGACCAAGCCATAATACTGGGTCTTGGTTGTCCATCTGTCCAGTCCTATAATAAAGTGCAGGCAACTCATGATCACCAGAATGATTCCTGTATATTGTTACTTATTTGTGTATTCTATCCCTATGCACACAACTTTTATGTATCATAAATGCTGGATGGTATAAGTTTAAGGAAAAAATAACCAGGTTGGGTGTTACATGGGTGACTTTTGATGTTCTGTGGATTACAGTAATTATGATTTATTTTAGCACTTCAGAATTTATGAACAGCAAAGACTACTGTAGTATCGAACTGATTAATTAACATCATATGAAGATGCAACTGCTATAAAATTTGCCAATATTAATTAATAACCTTAAGAATGACCTCAACCTTAAGAAATCTCAGACACTATTTTCACTCTTTAAAGCCTTTTCACTCTACAGTACTGTACAAGAATTAACTGTTAAACTCTGGTGGCAAATTGACGCTTTCGGAGGACGCATTTAATATATACTTATTTTTACCCACAATAAGACACAAATTACGTATCTCTTCTCAGCTGGGATAAAACACACTATAGGTCCCTCTTCTGCCAACTAACACAACAAAACAAGGGAGAAACACATAGAACAAAGGAACAGTCTCCTGAGTTACGTAGGTTGGGGATTAATCTTCTTGATGACAGCAGTGGACCCCAGACCTGATCCTCAATACTATTACACTTTCTAAATATCATCTACATATTAGCAGTTCACCTCACAGTAAGTCTTACATTTATTTATTACTGTATTATTTACTTTATTATTACTGTTTGTACACTTAAAAAGTATTTGTTTGTACAGTAATTATAAATAGAGTAATTTATGTGGCAGTCAAGGCTTGGTAATTGAGTATGGTTGTTGGTTGGTATAATGAGGAACAATCTGAACAAATTGAACAGAAAACAAATGAATAATTGAACACAAAATGAGAAATTGTCAAATAATGTCAAAATATTCATAACTCAGTTAGTTTGTATTTTCAGTAGTTCAGTGGACCACAAACTAGACTATACCCTCATTCAGTTGACAAAAAGAGACTCTGGGTCACCCAAATTATGGAGAATACAAATTAACCAAGTTTTGAATATTTTGACATTATTTGACAATTTCTCAATTTTTTGTGTTCAATTATTCATTTGTTTTCTGTTCAATTTGTTCAGATTGTTCCAACCAACAAACATACTCAGTTACTATAGCAGCACCAACATTTCTTTACAACCTGTCCTCATGTTATTCTTTGCCTAACTCCTGTATCTCTTGACACAGTTAGTTTCCTCCTTTCTTTCCTGAACCATCTCAGTTTAGCCTCCAGGTACTGTACTTCTCTCTGTTGCCAACCATCTTCCACTTCTCACACGATCTTTTTTTCTCTTTTTATCTCTCTTTCTCTCCACTTCATCATTCCCGCCATCAATCACACTCAACAGAACATCTTTTATTATGGCCCAGCGTCTTGGTACACTGCCCCTCACTGGCTGTTTCCTAGCCTCTCAACTCACAAGAAAATGTTTCCTTTACATTCAGTTCCTTCACAATTCCCACACTCTCCTTCTTGGAACATCCACCTTCTTCCTCTCCCTCCATCTTTAAGTAACACACACACACACACACACAAGCAACCTGTTCTAATTTCCTGACCAAAATGTAGCCAATCTGGGTTTCTGTATCACCTGCCTTAGGCCTACATGGTCAGCCTACTTGCCCTATTCTTAAACACATGTTACATACCATCCCCAAACTCAAGTGTTCTTTCACCTTCAGTATTCCTTATTCCAAAGCCTCTCCCACCATGCACACCTTCCTTACCCAGTGCGACAAATTTGGACAATAAAAATGGTTTGTTTTAACGTCACTACATTATAAACTGTATCTCCTAAAACAACATTAACTGGCATGACTATAACAGAATAATGGCCGCTTAAGTCACTCAACAGATTTTACAGCAACATTAAATGACTTTTTACTTTTTTTTTTACTTTTATCCTCTTCGCCACTGATCGGCTTGTTAGCCGCTTGGGCGATCGGTCACGTCTCTTTTCCTTTATATTCTTCACCAAAAGGTCGGCTCGCTAGCCGCCCGGGCAATCGGTCACGTCTCTGTCACGCACTGTTGGCAAATACTGGGCATGCACCGGCTCCTGAATGTACCTGAACCCGCTCCAGTGTTGGTCAAGTCTTCTCTTGAAAGAGCTCACACTCGGTGCCGTCACAACACTCTCTGGTAGATTGTTCCAAGAGTTTACAACCCTCACTCCGAAAAAGTTTGCCCTCACGGTTTTCCGGACTTGCGGCTTCTTCAATCTTGAGCTGTGACCCCTTGTGGGGCGAGCGTCCGCCAGCTCCAAGTAAGGACACTCAACTGAGTAGTGCCCCCTGAGATGCTTATAAACCTCAACTAGGTCCCCCCTTGCCCGTCTGTAGTATAAGCTAGGCAAGTTCAGGCGCTCCAATCTCTCAGGGTAGCTGAGATGCCGAAGTGCAGGCACCAGTTTGGTGGCCCTCCTTTGAACATTTTCAACCAACTGACAGTCCCTAGCATATCTCGGGGACCAGATGGGGTGACAGTACTCCAGATGGGGAAGCACTTCACTCCTGAAGATCGTCACGAGGGACGGACCGTCTAGATATCTGAACGACCTTCTTATAAGACCCAATAATTTATTTGCCTGATTTACCTTCTTCTCACAATGGCCCGAGAACTTCAGCTCATTGTCAACATACACACCTAGGTCCTTCTCACACACAGTCTCAACTAGTACATTTTCTTCATCCCGTTGGGACATATGGTACGCCTCCTTACCGTTGGTACGCCCCAGGTGCATCCTCTTACACTTCGTGACATTGAATCTCAGCAGCCATTCCTTCGACCATTCCTGGAGCCCACAGAGGTCCTTCTGCAGCTCTTCACAGTCCGCTTGGTTCTTAATTTCCCGAAATAACTTGGCGTCATCGGCAAACATTTGTATGGAGGAGTGTACAACGTCAGGCATATCATTTATGAAACAAACAAACAACAGCGGGCCCAATACACTACCCTGCGGTACCCCACTTGTTACAGGTACAGATGACGATTTCGTGCCATTAATCACCACACATTGCTTGCGGTCATGTAGAAAGTCTTCTATCCACGCTAGGACATTTCCCCGAATTCCGTACCCTTCCAGTTTGATTTTCAGCCTTTCGTGGGGTACACTGTCGAAAGCCTTGGCAAAATCTAGGTAAATATTGTCGATATTACCACCCCGTTCTAGAATATGGGTCCAAATATCCAATACCTTGAGCAATTGTGTCAAGCAAGAGCGCCCCGGCATAAAACCGTGTTGGCAATCTTTTACAAGGTTGTTTCGTAGTAGATGTTCCATCGCTGCATCTCTGATAATACTCTCAAGTACTTTACATATTATGCTGGTCAGGCTCACCGGTCTATAGTTGTTCGTGGAGTGCCTATCGCCCTTCTTGAAGATAGGACTCACATAAGCCACTTTCCATTCACTGGGGACCATTTGTTCATCCAGGCATTTACAAAACAGAATCTTCAGGGGCTCTGCAAGCTCGTTGCACAGCTCCCTTAGCACTCTAGGATGCACCATGTCAGGTCCAGGACTCTTATGGACCTTTAGCCTGGACAGTTTATTTCTAATACCCTCTTCTGTGAACACAATGTGGGTCAGTGCTGTGTCGAACCGTCTGTCCTCAAACGCAGGAAGGTTAGTTGCATCCTCTCTTGTGAACACTGAGGAAAAGAAGCTGTTCAATGCCTCAGCTTTATCCTGGTCAGAATCTGCGTAACTACCATCTTCAAGCCTCAGGTCTGATACTCCTACTCGCGTTTTCAATTTCGACTTTGCATAGCGGTAAAACGCCTTTGGGTTTGACTTGACCTCGCGTGCAACCAGCCTTTGGAACTCCTTTTCAGCCCTCCTACACTCTATCTTTGCTTGGTTTCTGGCTCTTGCATACATCCTCCTGTCTTGCTCATCGTTTGACCCAACCCACGTCTTGAATTTCTGGGTTTTCTTCTTAATTTTGTCGACCGCCGCATGGTTCATGTGTAGGGATCCCCTCGTATTCCTAGAAGCACTGGGTTTGGTCTTGGGTATATATTTATCGATCAAATGGGTCATTTTACTAGTTATGATATTCAGCGTAGTGTCTGCGTTCTTGTACCTTAATAAGTCAGGCCAGTTGATACCCCTCATCTCTTCCCTCATCCCATTGTAATTTCCCTTGTAATATTTGCACCTTGGCCTGGCCTTATCTTGAACTAGGTAACAGTTAAATCTGAATGACAACACTGTATGGTGACTGGTGCCAACTGGGGCAAGGTGTTCCAGTTTGGCCACCATACCCTCCTCGTTTGTTATGATGAGGTCAAGTGGCTTGGGTGTTTGTTCCCCTCTGTAATGTGTCGGGTCTCTCACATGTTGGAACAGAAAATTATCTCTCAGAGTTTCTACAAAAAGAGTAGCAGGATTATTCAAGTCATTCGGGGTTGACTCGTTTCTCCAGTCGATGTCGCCATAGTTAAAGTCCCCCATGATAAGGAGGTGGCTGGGGTTGAGCATCGCCGCATTGTTTATTAAGGTTCTTAAGTTCCTTTGATTTAGTGGGCCACAGTTCGGGGATCTGTAGATACACCCGACGATAAGTAAGTCCCCTCCCTTTAATTTAATTTTACACCACTTGGACTCTTCAAAAACATCCTCTCCCTGTACCCTCGCCTGGCTGGCTCTAAGGTCTTGCCTAGCGTAGATAACCACACCCCTCCTGCAGGATTCTTGAGTTAGGTTCGTAAATGAGTCATATCCAGCAATACTGAACTCACATTCCTCTGGGTCGATTCTCCTGTTCTTGTACAACAGTTCTACAACTCCTACAATATCTGGTTGGTGTACTCTTAGTAGTGTTTCAAACTCCTCCCTCTTATCAAGGAACGTGTCGGTATTAGTGTACATGACATTCAAGCCAGAATTTGTTCTCGGTAACGTCTCTGCTCTTAGTAATAAACCCGCTCCACCCACATTCTCAGAAGCTGCAGCATTTGCTAAGTACACTGTATTTTGCAGGGTGTGGTTAAAAATGTCATTGTTTACACGGCGCTCGTTCCCTCCTGTCCGGTAGGCTGAGCTGGTGCCGCCTCCCGGGTGGGGGGTTGAGTGGGTGGAGGGTGCACTGCTGCCCCCTGGCCCTGTGTCGGCACACTTGTTCCACTACCCTCCCCCTGAGTATAACCCATGTGCACCTGTCCCCGTTCCTCCTCGACTCCTCCCTCTTCTGCTTCAAGTCCAGCAGGAGCTTCTTGTGCTGTTCCCTCTGCATTACCGTGCGGTCTGGGTGAATAAATACATCCCGAAATGCCTCGCTCCTTGCTAAGTTTTTTGCCTGCCGGATAACTTGCCATTTTTCCTCCTCACTCCCTAGTGTGATCCTGAGGGGGCGAGGCTTAGCCCCCTGCTTTTGTCCCAGTCTCCTCACATCCTGAGGGGTTGCTGGAATCTTCAGAACCTCTGTGCAAATATTTTGAAACAGCACCTTGTCGTGTGTTTCCTTACTCACAGTTCCCTCTGCCTGGCTCTCTGGGACTCCAAAAACTATTACATTGTTCCTGCGCTGGAGCCGTTCCTGGTGTTCCTCCTCTCCCCTAACAGTAGGTGCGTTAATTTTCATTTCTTCGACACACTTTTTCAGAGTCCCAATCTGCTGTAGAACCTGTACTGATTCTGCATTACTCTCCGCCCCCCCCCCGTGGCCCTCCTAATACGTCCGCATAACTCCTCTTAGCAACCACCTCCATTCTATTAGCTACTTCCTCAGTCTTAGCAAGGATCTCTTTCTCAACTTGCTCCAGTTTGTCAACCAGCAGGGCTCCTGCTTCATCTATTTTCGTCCCTAGAGAACTCGTTCCCTTATGGATTGCAATCGCTTCATTCACCTTGACTATGCAGCCAGGGCAATACCAGCAACAGCCATCAAGCTTTACGGCAGTTAGTAACCTCCTAAACGCTGCATTAGTTAGGCCTGCATCCTCCATATCCGACGTCTCCCTGCAGTAATCACATATCAAACTCATGGTTGTTGTTGTTGTGGGGGGGGGGGTGCAGACTGTGTATAAATCTACACCTATTTCAAAGAAAATAAAGAGAGAAAAAGTACTTAGCTACTCTCTGTTGCCTATGGAGTTGTCGTCTGCGACTGCGTACACTGTATCTCCCTGTGAATGGTGTATTGTAGGCACAGTTTCAGTCCTTGAGAAAGCACACAATCAACATAAAATTTAAAGTCTCTGTGGCACCTATGACACGACTTGGTTTCAGCTGGCACGGTGCCTTTCCAGCTTGCTTGCTAGTGAGCGCTCACTTTAAGTTATTTACAACTTCAGCGGTCACTGATGACACTATGAACTATCACTGTGTACGCCGAACTAATGAGATAGAATTCCTTATTGAACAATAAAATGTATTTACGGTTTAGTTTAACATAAATGGTAAATATATGTGAAGTACCTGAATGGTTCAACAGTCTCACTAAATCATATTAATTCTAAAGTCCTTAAAAAAACAAAAAGGAAATAATTTTGTTCTTTAATTTCAAATCATATTGTGATGGCATTCTAAGTCCAGGTAAGTTTAAAAGATAAATTTAGCCAAATTATACCTCGATAAACAGTGAGAAATAAAAGTGTTCTGGTTTATAATTAAAATAAGGCAAATTGTCAATCTTCCAGAGCCACAGCTAAACACCTCAATTTAATATTGACCTCCACCTCACACTGGCTCACACTACAACAGAGTAACACCTGTGATGAAACAACATTATCAGGGAAAAGCTCAAAATATTTACATACACTAGACCACTTTAGATAGATAGATGTATATTTATTATGTAAACTTATCATATAAGTTTACAATTGGTTCAACCTGCATATAGACAATGCAGGTATACAGTTCACCATGTATATAGACAATGCAAGTATACAGTTCAGTATACTGTATTGTATTAGCCTCTGTCACAACAATATTATATAAATATGAGCTAAGGACATATACTCATTATATACATTCTATCACCCAGACTATTGAGCATACAGCTACATAAGCATTTGTTCTGTCACACCTCCTAGAGTGTACAGCCCATAAACATTTGTTCTGTCACACCTCCTAGGGTGTACAGCCCATAAACATTTGTTCCGTCACACCTCCTAGAGTGTACAGCCCATTAAACTACAGACTCAACCCTCAGTGTGTGGTAGGCTGTTTAGTTAATGACCTGTTGAAGTGTGGTTACCCTCCAACCACCAGTCACCAGACTCAAGAGAGTTCAGCCCAGTTCACAGCCCGACACAATGCCCTAAAGTTGTGTCGTGAGACCAGCTCTCCGGGCTGTACCTCTCTCTAAATATATCAGCTAATTACAAGCTAATAGCTAATGCTCATTAGTCTGTCAATACCAAATAATTGTACAGACATTACTACCCAATATAACTATTAAATCAGCACGTGTGTTTACATTAAACCAAGGAACAACGAGTGAAGAGACCATTACCTGTGTGTCTTGTTTAACTTACAAGCTAAGATAATTACAAGTACAACCCAGGAACAGCTGTGACGATTTAAACTATCTACGACTGTATCAAAGGTGACATGACGTGAGATGACCTGATATCTCACTCACCTGTATCAAAGGTGACATGACTTGAGATGACCCGATATCTCACTCAGCTGCATCAAAGGTGACATGACGTGAGATGACCGGATATCTCACTCAGCTGCATCAAAGGTGACATGACGTGAGATGACCTTATATCTCACTCAGCTGCATCAAAGGTGACATGACGTGAGATGACCCGATATCTCACTCAGCTGCATCAAAGGTGACATGACGTGAGATGACCTTATATCTCACTTAGCTGCATCAAAGGTACCGGCGACTAATCTACACTCGTTCAGGCAAGTGTTAACAAGTGAGATAGTTTGGTATCTTACCACAGCGAAAACAATATAGACAAACAGGTTTACAGTTCAGCATGTATATAGACAATGTAGGTATACAGCAAACTACACCACCTCCTCCGCCTGCCTGGCGGTCCTCGCTCCCGCCGGCGAGCATGGCGACCCACAAGCTGTCCTCCTCTGAGCATCCTCACCAACCAGCTCTCTCTACATCACGCTTGTAACCATGCTGCCTTCCCAGCACCAAGCTGCACTGTACATCCAATACAATATGTATACAGAGAGCACATTGTGAGTTTCCTTTCTCCATCCCATCCTGAGTGTGAACAAAACATCTCGTACCTCACAAGTCCTCCTGGTGTCCTGCCTGGAGTCACACTCACCAGAGGCCAAGAGGGTCAAAGGCCAGCTAAATATGGTGACAGACTTAACCAGTACTGGAGAAGATTCAGATACATTCAGGAGCCAGTGCTTATCCAGTACTTGCCAACACTGCGCAACAGAGACGTGACCGACCGCCCGATCGGCTACTGATCAGTGGCGAAGAGGATAAAAGCAAAAAAAAGTTGTTTCAAGACATCTGTGGGTTCATACAATTTCGTTTAGGGTACATTAGTTGTTACCAGCATAATACAGTAAGTATATCAGTTATTATTATTATTATTACTTTTACTTTTATCCTCTTCACCACTGATCGTCTCCGTTACGCACTGTTGGCAAGTACTGTACTGGACAAGCACTGGCTCCTGAATGTATCTGCTCGGTGCCGTCACAACACTCTATGGCAGGTTGTTCCAAGAGTTCACAACCCTCACTCCGAAAAGTTTGCCCTCACAGTTTTCTGGACCTGCGGCTTCTTCAATCTTACTTTTACTTTTATCCTCTTCGCCACTGATCGGCTCGCTAGCCGCCCGGGCGATCGGTCACGTCTCTGTCACGCACTGTTGGCAAATACTGGGCATGCACCGGCTCCTGAATGTACCTGCTCCAGGTAAGGTCACTCGACTGAATAGTGCCATAATTATTATTATTATTTTTTTTTTTTTATTAATTATTTGCAATTAACTACGTTGAGTTGTAACCAATTTATTAAGGCTACTCAACCCAGTTTTAAAACTTTTTAATACTTTATATTGTTAAAATGTGAGATTTAATATTTATCTATTATGGAGGGTAATTTTACGTTCAACGTCGTAAATTAATTTGAAAAAGAACAAAAACAAATGTCATATGGCACAAGGATCCCGCTCCCTCTACCAAGGAATAAACAATTGAAATTGAAATTGAATTGATTTTTTTTTATCCTCCCCCCCCCCCCGTCATCTTACAATGCTGTTTTTAATACATACCAATATTATAGCACATGTATTAGTTTATAAAACAATCATGGGTTAAACAAGAAATAAATATAGAGTAGCCAGTGTGGTGCGGGTGACGGCCAACAGGTGAGGGGCGGAGGTGTTCAAATTGACTTCTTCACCTCACTAACTAATTTAATGAGAAAAATGGATAACATAAGCGACTGTACGAAGACTAAGTCCGTGTTAAATGTTCTTGGGCCTATCGCTAACCAGGTGAGTTGATGCTTCATTAATGTAGAGTAAGAGTTACCGTGTAAGGTGTGCGGGTAATAAAGGCAGGTGACAGGTGGGTCTGACTAATTACCCAAATGTAGCCAAATATAGCCGGAATGAAGTCAAATAATGGTCCTAGATGAATAAATCGGACTGCCAATCACTTCTCGACTAGTATTTGGTGTCATAAAGTCAAAAAAAATTGGTAAACTTAATTTAATCTGAGTTAATAGATCAAGTGCATGTACCTAACCTAACCTAACACAACACAACTCAGATTAAATTGAGTTTACCAATTTTTTTTGACTTTATGACACCAAATACTAGTCGAGAAGTGATTGGCAGTCCGATTTATTCATCTAGGACCATTATTTGACTTCATTCCGGCTATATTTGGGTACATTTGGGTAATTAGTCGGACCGGGTGACAGGTGTAGTCCGCCAGGTACACAAAGATAGTGGGAACTACTGTTAGTCACTGAGTGACTGTATAATCACTCATTGATTCCTGCTAAAATTAGACATAGCTCAAGGATGGTTCTTTTACATTGCCAAAGGTGCAGAGCCCACAGAATACTTGCATATGATACCTGAAATTCTAATGAAATTAGCCAGAAAAACAAGGAATCGTCAGAGAATTTATGTCTGCTAAACCAGCAGACACCCTGGAGAACAATTCTATGGGTGTGCTTACCTCACTGACTGCTCACCCAATGAAAAGGAAATAATGATAATAATAAAAAAATAAAGCTCTTTCATTTAATTTTCATACTCTAAAACACTATGTCAATTAAATCAAATTCTTACCCGCCAGTTACTCATCCACCGGCACTTTACTATACACCCCCTGTACTTTACAACTAGTGGTAGCTGTACTGTATATTCATTATATATATATATATATCTTCATGACACAGGTGGTGGAGCTGAGGGGTCGCCAAGGTGTTGTCTGTGATGCTACAACAGTGATCAAGTTACTGAAACAGTGCCAGGCTTTAGACACATCGTGTGTCCTGCTGGTGTCCCGCCTGGCATCGCACGCTCTCTCCCACAAGGATGATGTGCTCTCGTCAGAGGCCAAGAGGATCAAAGGCCAGCTAAATAAGGTGACAGACTCGCTCACTGATGCCACAAGAGATCTTCATGTAAGTTTTGGTTCATGCTGAACATTTTGCTACATGACTCACATTTATATACTATGGTGATTTTTATTTTGCAGGTATATGATGGATTTAACCTTATCCTCAGCTAAATAAGTTTTTATGTGTGTACATCTTATTGAGGAACAAGTTGAATGTTTATAAACTGTACTTACCTGTGTGTATGTGTGCCACTTAATGTTTGTCTTTCTACGTTAAAAGTTTGATACAATGCTCATTTTCATGTTAAATCATTTAAGTCAACAGATACAGCAGCATTATTATCATGAAATGATTTATTTGTGTATTTTTAAATTTATTACATACAAAACCTATACAGTACCTTGAAAAAGGTATTTGTATTCTCAAAACACAACCTGGACCCCATACTGCTCAAGAGAAAAGGTATTCCCCAATTTATGAAAGGGTTCTAGTCCTGAAAAACCTTTTTTTAAATTGCTTTTTTGTAAATCAGAACTAATTTTCTCATGTACAGTACATATTCCTATTGTAAAAGCTGAGATACAGATAGTTGTTTTAGCTACTGCACAATCACAAAAATTTTCTGTCAGTCTTCTGACCTGAAACTCGTGAATCTAAGATATTACACATTGTTGGGCCCACGGATGGCAAACTGGGTCAAGTGATGTCTTGGATTCACAGGTTTGTGGATGGGAAGGAGGACTGACAGGACTCTTTTCTGTGACTGTACATACAATATAGTACAGCTATAATTTTATATTGAACCTGTACCTGTACTTAAAAAAAACATGAGATTTAAGAACATAAGGACATAAGAAAATAAGGAGTCTGTGCATGGCAGCTCCTGTCGAGAGTCACAACCACTCTCTATCGTCCATGAATCTATCTAGCCTCCTTTTAAACCTTTCCAGCATCCCAGCACTTACTACAAAGTTGCTAAGCTTGTTCCATTCGTCTACCACCCTATTTGTGAACCAGTTTCTTCGTATCTCCCTCCTAAACCTAAACTTATCCAACTTAAATCCGTTGCTAAGAGTCCTATCCTGCTCGGATATTATAAGACCTTTATCTATATCTCCTTTATTGATTCCTTTCACCCACTTAAATATGTCTATCATATATCACACTAAGCCAGCATATATAATAAACATGTAACTGTAGTACAGGCATTCACTGATTTATGTCATGTCAAACAGTGTCATTTTGATATACCTGTAAAGTCATTTAATAATTAGGGAACAATATTTTATATAAGTCGCTGAAGTCTGGTATAGCATCTTTCTGAATCTCGCACACAGCAGTGTGGCGCCTGCCTCGCCCAAGCATTCCCAGCCTGCCAAAATTCTGATTCACGTTTTCTATCTTGGTGACAACAACTGTTGGTGCTCCATTAATTATTTTTTAACCTAATATTAAAAATAACTATCACCATGCTTGGGAAACATCATGCAAACAGTTCTGAAAATTCAGGAAGTGTGGAGTCAGGGGATGAGACAGCACCTGGGGAGACTGGCTGCATTAATTTATCATCTTTTCATTATTACTCGGGATATATAATGAAAATTACCAAAAAAATCATAACTGGATTTTTTTTTATTGAATCGTGGCAAAATTGTTTTTTCTGTAACATTAGATTTTTGTAAACTGAACTTTCATAAACTGGGGACTGCCTGTACATAATCTTCAGAAATCTGCACACTGCTTGGTCCCATTGTGTTAAGATTTATCAGCTTTGACTGTACTGTACAGTAGAGGTGCTATAATAGAAAATGTGGATACCTGAATATCAGATACCTCAGCTTATTTCACCTGATGATTAACCACCCCTAATGTTAACCTAACCTTCCTCCCCCCAGATAGTGGTAGAGTGGTTAATAATCAGATAAAGTAAGCTGGAATGTCTAGTCTTCAGGTGATCCTTTTATGTCTATAAGAAGTGTAAAACTTGTTAAGCTGTGCACAGTGTTTTCTGGGAACTCAACCCTGCGTTAAGAGAGGGGGCAGTGTACTGTACCACTGTAACATTTCCAATTGTATCTAAGCACAATACTGTACTGTACCCATCTCTCAGCATGGTGATGTAGGTGTGAGGGACAATGATGAGGTGTGGGCAGGAATCGTAGAGGATACAGAGCAGCTGTTGTCCACCTTGACGGAGGCTCTGCTGGCATGGGACCGTGCCCAGCTGCGTAGAGTGACACAAGCGCTCACACACCTGCAACAGTGTCTGTGTCGCCTGGAGCAGACTCACACTGTTCACCATCTTCCCAATGAGTTTCAGGTATGGGATTTTTTCATAAGATGGAAAAGTATAGTTAGATTGTATATTTATTCAGATATCAAGTTCTCTCGGAAATGTAAGTACACTCTACTGCAATGTAATGTTTTAGTCCAGCTATGATAATAACAGTTATGTACAATTACCCAAATAAATAATGATCACTGTTTCTTGAAACTTGAATCAGAAAGTGTTATCTAGCAACTACAAAAATTGCTTTATTTTCACCTTTATTGTTTCAAGATGGAACACAATTTTATTAAATACTAACTGGAATGCAGTGGTCTTGGTGTTCTTTCACAATATTACCCGGTTCCTCTGTGGTGGGTGAGTAGTGGTTTATTGCTCTATTTTCCTCTTTTTTGTTCCTGTGACTATTGTGGCTTATGGAACTGTTACTTTTTGTCATCTGTTTCACTTATACCAATAAAGTTTATATTTTCCCCCAATTTTTGGCAAACACAGCACTGATAAGAATAGTGTCTTCACCTGAACCACAAAGTTCCTTGTGCAAAATACAGTAAACCCTCGATAACTCGGCACATATGGGGCTCTGGCCTTGCCGAGTTATCCCAAATTCCAACTTATCGAGGCACTTCCCTCTACTACAAAAAAAAATAAATAAATAAAGAAAAATAAATTATTGACCCATATATGTGTACATGTAATTACTGAATTAAAAAAGTAACACTTACCAGCACTGCAGGCAAAGAATGAAGCATCATAGTAGGTGACACAGATGCATGGTAGGTGACACAGAGATATGGTAGGTAACACAGAGGCATGGTAGGTGATGCAGGTGGCCAGATATGTCGAGATTCTCCCAGATAATTTTACATATCTTGCATTTCTCGAGTTATACTAATACTGTACATTCCGAGACCATATCCATGCAGAGTTATATGAATTTCCAAGTTATCAAATGCCAAGTTATCGAGGGTTTACTATATTTATATAATACTGGTTTGAAAAAACATTTTTTGCTAATTATATTATTAAACTACAGTATGGTGTATCTTTATGATACACCCAATAATAAAAATTTCCTAGTCAACATTGTGTCTTATCTGGTCATTTTTCTTATTTTAATACTAATTCGATATTGTTGATGTTCATCTATATAGAGAACTTGTGTCTTAGCATGTCTAATAAATCTCATCGTACATTTGTGTTCTTACTCTGCAAGAAAGAGTTTGCATTGATTGTATTGCAAATAATAATAATTATTGATATTCAATCATTTTGACCAAGGACAGCTGACAAAGCCATAAGATGTTTGTTTCCTGTAGAGTCCTAATGCCAGCAGCATCTGGTGTTCTTGAGGCCAGGTGGTTACCCTCCCAACCACTAACCAGACCTAACGTTGCTTAACTTCGCTCATCAGACAAAAAGCAGTGTTTCAACGCGGTACTGTTGACATAATCCAAGAAAAAGAAACACGTTTTTTAAATAAAACGCCAACTATTCTTATAACACATGACTGAATATAAATCAGATGTTGCTGTTTTCATCCTAATTTTCTGTATAAATATTTATATCTGCTGTTTCTTATACAGGTTGTAGTATGTGCAAGTGTGGATTTATTAAACTTGCTGGAAGTACGGTGTGAGGATCTGTACCGACGAGCACAGCGGGAGACAGTGAGGCTGTTAGCACTGCAGCTGTGTCACACTCTTCCTCTACTTGCCTCTACATGTGCTGCTACTGTCACTTATCCTCTCAGCAAACACATTAGGGTAAGTCTTCCAGTCTCTCAACACTCACATAACAGTTCCATGGTCTTTTGCCTCCCAGTTGCAGTTTTCCTTAACTTTATGTGGACAGGACATGAAGGTCACACCCATTACAGTGCATATCTATCCCTATATACATTCACATTAAATGAAAGAAGTAAAGCCTGAATCTCTGACTCCTTATGTGACTGCACCAGCTCATTGTACAGTAGCTTCAAGTTTATGTTTATTTAACACCTGTGGGAATTATTAAGGGCAAAGATAAGTTATAAGAGCCTGTTATGAAGATGTATGTTGGAGTTAAATTGTCTCTCTTTTTTTTATGGGGAATAGCCCACCCGGGCACAACGGGGCCTAGGGGGGCGAAAAAGATAAGAGCAAAACGAAATTAAAAATTTAAAAGAAAAAGATTATTATACAGTATTAATCTACACCACGAGGATGCCGGAAAACCAGCTTTTTAAAGTGAGACAGATTATATGAGTATGGAAACACAGAAGAAGGCAGAGCATTCCACAGTTTTGCTGTGTGAGGAAAGAAGGAGGTACTATAATAGGTTATTCTAGTGTGACCGACTGCCACAGAGAAATTGTGGGCACCACGGGCAAGACGAGTGTTACGAGCCGACGGCCTTCCCGGCGGTACACAGGAGGCCAAATCCACCAAACATTGCCCGTTAAAGTACCTGTAAAAGAGAGAGAAAGTGAAGCAACATTGTGGCGAAGAGAAAGTGAAGAAAGATTATCAACTAAAGGAGGAGAGTAAATAAGACGAAATGCCTTTGATTCCACCCTATCTAACAGTTGGACAGAAGAAAAGCCACCCCAGATATGAGAGCGGTACTACTTCAAGTTAGGACGAATGAATCCCTTATATACTTGAAGCAACTGCTCAGGAGTGAAATAACTATGGCATCTGTACAGCATTCCCAGTTTTCATGAGGCAGCTTTAGCAATGTTGTGGATGTGTGGCTTCCATGACATATAAAAGGAAGTGTTTGTCGTGCAGTGACTTTATCACATACAAAGTAAAGAAAAAAATCTGGCTTTGCTGGTAGTTTATTTAACAAGGGTGATGGAATTTTGTGTTGCTCCATAAATGCTTCAGTAAGCTGTCAGCATGTAGGACTTGTAATTTACCTCAGTGTTAAAAGCAACTCACAGCATGCATTTTGTAACTCAAGGGAATTTGGAAGTTGTGCTCCACCTATTTCTGATAATTATATGTCAAGGATCCCTGGGCTGGCATCTCTAGTTTACTAATTAGAAAAATTTCCTTCCTTTATTTTAATGTTTGAACTTAGGGAAACTTTTAGGAACATGAGGCTTTTATGGATATTTTTGGATTATGAATCAAGAATTTTACAGTTGTCAAGAGAATGTATCAATTTGAGGTATTGTCTTGGTCAGGGGTGGGCAATTATTTTTGATGGAGGGGTCACTTCATGAATGGTGGCACACTTTGCGGGCCACACACTTAATGTAGATGCAAATGTATTATATTAACACAAAGTAAAGCCTTGTATATGTAAATACAAATGCAGTGGCGAGCCACAGAAATAATTTGGCGGGCCATACTTTGCCCACCCCTGGTCTTGGTGATAACCTTGATGTGCTTCAACTTGAGGCAGTCAGATACAGTGCAGTACAGTAGATGTATTCTTACATCTCCAAGTACAGTACAGTATATGAAAATTTGGCATATGAACTAAACATGGGGTCACGACCCCAAATGGGGTTGCTAGAAGCATCATAAAGGGTCACATAGATGTCATGGGGTTGATGGAGTCACATTGAGCTCATAGTGTTGCTGGGCTCCGGTACTGCTCATAGGGTTGCTGGGCTCCCATAGGGTTACATAAACGTCATGGGGTCGCTGGAGTCACATGGGTCTTGCAGTGGTCACTTTTCTTTCTTTTCTTTTTCTTTTCTTTTTTTTTTCTTTTTTTTTCTAGTCAGATGTCATGGACTAAAGGATGTAGCTGACTGGTGCTGCTTTGTTAAGTTGGGACCATAAATTGTGGTTAAAGGATTAATGCAGTTATTCTCCTTCTGTCAGGTCAGGTTAGGCTTACCCTGATGATACATTTTTCAACGGAACTTCCACACTCCTACCTTTGAACTGTTCTCAGCTCAGTTCACTCTCTACTTCCCACGGATGCAGACAGAAAATGGAAGCAAATTACAATGATTGATTCTCTGAGTTGCTTACTGAGTCTTTTGATTATGTTCAGTTTCCATTCAAGACAGATGTAAAACAGTCTGGCTTTTGATCTCAGTTTGACAGCGAGGCAAGGGTGAATTTTGACGTCTATGATCACATAGCAAAGTTTGGATTACTACAGTATATCAAAGAGACATTCATTGGTTAAAAATTGAGCTGTCAAGGTTTTGGTAGAATTTGGAAGTACCCTATGATTGTGAGGTTTATAAAAAATGATTACTGTAACCGTATATCAAACTTCAACTTAGAAAATTGTAAGCCATGTTGTTTAATCACATAATTATACCCCCAGTTAAGCAGAAACATTATAAAATGATAATGCATACTTGTCACATTCGAAATATGCCAGAGTTGTAACGAAGAAATTGTATGTTATGTTGCTTAACCAGGGAATGATACCTCCAGTTATAGAACATTAAATGATGATACAAGCATGTCACATATTAAATGTGACAGTTGTAACCTGTTTCTGCCAGTGTATACTTTGACTTCTCATTTATGTCATACATTTTCCTTATTTATTTTTACAGTTAAATATGTGTGAATATATGCAACTGTTTATATTTCTGCTGTAAGCTTAATTGGATTACTTTATATCACTACACAATTTTAACAATCATCTGGTGGCCCACCAGGTGATTGTTAAAATTGTGAAGTGATATAAGGTTCAGTGACTGGACAATCTTATCTGAAGCTCTTAATCATATGTTTACTTATATCTTCATACATTACAGAGGAACATTAAGTAATTTCTAAATTACTAACTCTTGTGTGTTGGTCTTCTAGGGAAGTCGTGAATTGGTGTCAATTCGGTTGCAGACTCTGCTGACTGACCTTCACTCCCACGTAGGTCTTGGTGATGCTGAGTATGACCTGGGTGAAGCTGGATCCTTCATTACTTGTGTCAGTATGAAGTTAATTCTTTTGTAGATCTTTACAGTACAGTGTCTCTTGTTTATGCTTCGTGTAGCATTTTGCGAGCCATGATAACTAAAATACTAAATGTACTTCTTACAGTGCAGTACTCTATGTATGTTGCTTTTAGCTTGATTGTCTTTATAAACTGACCAGGTCTGGTACAGGAAGCCCTGAGATGACTGTTCCATCACCTCAGTAACTTTCTTTGCTGTGAAAAATAAAATAAAATAGAATTAATAAGAACAAAATTAGCTCAGGATTTTTGTAAAATGAATCCTTGTAAATCGGGGACTGCCTGTACAGTATACATATTGTACGTACATTATATCATGTAATTTAAAGCTTGAGATATGCGTGTCTTTTGAGAATCTGATTTCACTGCTTTATTTGGCAATGTATTCTCTGAAGAAAAGATTTATTTGGAATTGCAGCACCATACTAAAAACGAAATTTGAAAATCCTTATTGCTTTCTTTCAGGTTGACAACATACTTGAACTACTGTTAGAAGCCCAAGATAAGAGTAACTCACCAACAAGTAGGAGCGCAGGACCCCATAGTTTGCATGTGAAGCCCCAGTTGGAGGAAGTACTCAGACATGGTATAGCTGTGGCTTACTGTAGCTCACCTGATGACAACCATATCATTATGGCCATGTGTGAGAATGTGAGTACTATACTTTACTGAATTAAGAGTTTTAGAAGGAAATTGAGCAAATAGATAGCACCTCTAATGGATATGAACAACTGGCAATATTGTCTTGTATGTGGCATCTGTAGCTCATGTTTATTTAAGCATAATATGTGCAGACTTATTTTGCATAGAATCAGTCAATCTGATTTCCCATTTATTTTATTTATTTATCTATCATCATCATCATCATCATCATCATCATCATCATCATCATCATCACCACCACCACCACCACCACCACCACCACCACCCACCACCACCACCACCACCACCACCACACCACCACCACCACCACCACCACCACCACCACCACCACCACCACCACCACCACCACCCTACTTGCTTGCTTATGGCAATCCGTCAGAGTCAACAATGACTCAACAAGTTCGCCTGAGTGGTGAAATGATTTTCATGATGGTAGGGGTGTGGTGACCCCACCACCACCAGCTTGGTCCTGATCACCAAGTTTCAGTGGTAAGAGCAGACTCATATGACCTTCAAGTGACTAGGATTGCAGGAGTTTCAGTCTGTCGAAATCTGCCTGTTGTGAGACACCCAACCGTGGCTTTGTGTAGGGTGAACTCCCATAGCCTTATGTCCTTCCAGACTAAACCAGAAGGCAGTGGGGAGGTAGGTGGTTGGTAGGCATCAGGGCATGTCCGCACACAGAAGTGCCTGTCTGCCATACCTCTGGGGCCCACTGCTGCTCTGAGATGCTTACAGAATTTGCCTGGGGTCGCAAGACACCCAGTTACCGTGCATTGCTATGAGGAGACACTGAAGGGTCTTGGTGATGGAGAGGCTGTATACCGGCAGGGGAGAGACTTAGGCACTTGGCTCTTCCTTTTTACCACAAGGTCTAGCCGGTGGCAGTAGCTGAAAGCGTAAGAGTAGCACGCAGCGTATGCACCTTAATACTAGCTTAATGCTACCACACTAGACCCATCATATCACCCTGTGGGTAGCACCCACCAACACACTCATCACCACTATCATCATTATTATTATTATTATTATTATTATTATTATTATTATTATTATTATTATTATTATTATTATTATTATTGTTATTATTATTATTAATACACCTTTCATACTATTGTTTGAAATGGATCAAACAATACAGAAACCTCAAAGAAGGTAGGAAGTATTACAGGAGACTTGTAAGACAATTGTAAAAAACAACAGGGAAATGGTAAGATAACAAATGGAGATATCCACACATACTTACTGATATCCTCAACTTGTTTATGTAGTACACAAAATGATTCCTAGTATCCACACACTAAATATTTCAAACTGCTTCTTCTGGCATTCAGGATTTCAAATAATTTGTGGATCTACTGTATTCCCAGTTACTGTTTCCTCCCTTTTGTTGGTACAGTGCCAATGAAAATATTGGCATCTCAGACATGTAGTGGAGTTCTTCACTTCATATCCTTTGGGAACCTAACATATTTTTCAGCTTTGTCATCGTCATCCAGGTCTGGAAACTATTAAACAACCACTATCTTGTGCAGGCTCTAAAACAGTTGAAAATCTTGGTGACCCTGGAGCGAAGTGGTAGTCCTGATGCTGTAGATGTGCAGATAGCTTGTGACATCTTGGCTGATTGTGTGGAGTTACTGGAACAAAAGGTTAACACTGCTCTCATACGCCTCATAGCCCAGGTAAGATGTTTCACCTCTTAAGATGTTGTCAAGTATACAGTAAAGCCCAACTGTAGACTGTAATGAAGTGAGGTAGTTACAGGAAAAATTAATTGATTGCTTTTCAATAACTTTATTTTGTGTAGACCAGTGTTTTGTATTTTTTTTTTTTTTTTGACATTTATATTTACAGTCTAATGCTCAATCCTGACTAACTCCCACACCCTGTTTTCTCTCTGAGCTCTTTTGGTGTTAAATTTTGATGTAAGACATTTCTTTGAAGAAAAACTCTCCAGTACTGTGTTGTGTTACACTAGTTAAGGTACACAAGAGTGTGTGTCCTCTGGTGAGCATTATAGCTGGACTTGTCTAGTGCACCATGGATAAGAAAGAGGAAGATATACTGTATGTTTTACTTGTGTAGTGAGAGGTGTGTGGCCACCCTGTGTGTAAAGAGCCGTAAATTATAATATTTGGCTGGAAAGACAATAATTAACATTGATAAAGAACAATTAATTAGGGAACGAGACCCTACACAATTGAAGCTTGTATTCTGTGGAGGAGTTCCTATATACTGTAGGTCCAATTTACGTTTCCATGTGCGCTCTCCAACAGTTACCTTAATATGTAGGTATTCTGTAAATTGTCCTTTGTACTCACCTTATCATTTCCATAAGTTTGTAACACTCTCTTCTCTCCAGACATTTGCAGCTCCCATGACCCCTATTGAGTCTTTGATGGAGTTAGTGACGTCTGTTGCCGGCACCACGGACCATAAGACGCTGGACACTCGCATCATGGACTTTGATCTTCACGTAGATCACATTTTTCAGGTTGGGGGATTCGCCACAGCCTGCACTTCTGATGAAACAAGTATGATCTTACTGTACAATAGAAGCTGTTAGGAACTACAGTTGTTGATCAGGGTGAAGAGAGGTTTAGTTAGTGTGTTCAGGGAATTACTTGGGGAAAATTTATAATAGAAATATCATTAAGTTGGAAGTCTTGACACAAGGGAGGTAACAGAAGCTGTGCACCAATTTATTCTTACTGATTTATTTCTATCATCATCAGCATAACCATCTCCAACATCATCACCATCATCATCCTCATCATCATCATCATCACCATCACCATTGTACAGTTATTTTCCACACTTGCGTGGGTTAGCTGTGGTAACCGGATGGCACAGTGACCAGGTTGTCATTAGGTAAGTTAGAAGCAAGTTTAATGACAGGATCCCCTTCCCATCTCTGATTCACTTTAACAGAGTTGGAACTGGGTATTATAAAGTAATCATTCCTTGTAGCGGAATTCCTTTTAGTAGAAGTTCAATTTAGCTGAACGTAATCGTGCCGGTATTTGCTTCTCCGTCTAGCTAGATGAAGGGAGTTTCCGGTAACGCCTGCTTGGGCTCACATCATTGTTTTGGCACGATCAATCAGTTTCCTGCCACACATTGTTGCGGTCTCAATTTTTTTTTTCACATTCCCCCAGTGTTTGTGTAGTGTACAGTATGTATATCTTTGTCACCATACCTTAAGTGAGAGCTAAATCCAGTGAAGGGAAGGTTAAGAGAGTCTCTCTTAATTTTACAGAAACTAGAAATTTTTATTTACCATTTTATTATTTATAGTACTTTGCTGACATTTACTGTACAGTATATGTGCAAAATCATAATATGTGTACATTTAAATGGTTGGGAATATTAACATTGGGTTCGTGGCCTAGTTGGTCATTTTTGCCTGACATTTGTCAGGTGTCTGACAACTCGCTCTCACTCTCTTAGTACTTTTACAAGTGGCTTCCAACGATCTACTTACTGCCTAGTACTCAGTTCCTGAGAATGATGTATGAATACAGTGAAGAGCATCTAATACCATGTAAAGTGACCATTAAAAGTAATAATAGAACATAAAATATTGCCAGTCGCTGTGGAAAAATCATTTCAATGCTCTAATGTGACCTAGAAATAAAGAAAATATAATGTAAAACTATAAAATAAGAAAAAAGAAGAGCATGGGTATGTATAGGAAGTAAACTAATTTGTGGAGGCAGTGGTCTGTTGTAACTACGTCACCACCCAGCCGACACCATCCTCTCTCCCTGCCCCCGGGCCAAATGTAACATCACGGCATACACACCGCAGCAGCCGCACACATCTGAATCAGCTGGTGGCTGAACTGTGTGGTTCACTCTTTGCATCGCTCGGTTATTTTTTGTGCATAAAATATGTATTTTTGTATTTTATGATGTGCCATACATAATTTTTATTGTTTATTGTAGCAGTTTTTCTTAATTTGTTAAAATGTGGACTACAGAATAACAAAGAACTGGAACCTATTATCATTTAAATTTAACTCTGAAAACAAACTATTAAAGGACGAGGTGGATTTCATAAACATATTCACTTCATTGCCAATGGTATAAATGTATTCGATTTAGTGGATTCCTCCCTTTTGTGGAATCGGCCTACTTGCTTTATTCTGTTATATGGAATTATTAATATAGTATTGTATACTGGAATTCCAAGTGCTTACATTGAGAAATAGAGCTACTGTTTATGTGCATATTAGTATGTCCTTTGCTTCTGCTCTCTTTCTCTCTGTATTCTATCTTATGATTTGCTCAAAGTATATTTTTCTTGTAATTCAATTTATTTAGAGTAACTCATTCACTTGCTAAATGTTTCAGCACACAAACATAATTGTTTAGCATGTATTTGGAATACAGTACCTCCGTGTACTACAATAAATTCTGTAGCAATGAAAAGAATGGAGTCTTTCTTCAGTCAAAATTTTGAATGTAGTACAATTTCATTTTCTCAATGGTAAGCTGTGTTGATTGTACAGTATACCTTAGATTGATAAGACTATTATAAAGTATTAGCTGATCACCACATCTCCCTCATTAGGAGTGCGCCTCATCCGGGACAGTCTCCTCACACTGGAGTGGTTGGAGGGCTGCCTTGTGCCATCTATAGTGTCTGCATACACTGACCCACACCCTAATGCTCGTGCTCATGCCCACATGCTGGCAAGACACTGGATGGTAGCTGTTACACAGCTTTGGGACTGTCTAGATTTTATCATGGACCCAGCTGCATTCGCCTTGGTAAGATGTTCTGTTTTGGAGGGTACAGTATACAGTGTAGCAATAATTACTCTGCTGTATTTCTTTATCTGAAAATATTAAAACTGATGACTATCTATCTATATATAGTAACAATTATGTAAATAATCATAATATGTACAAACAATACATGGATAGCATCATTACCCTATCATTACCTAACTTAATTTAGGTTCACTTTGTTTATATTAGGATAGTAATTGACTTTTTGCTGAAACATAGCAAATATTGACATACAAGTGTATGAATTACTGTAACTTTAATTCAGTTGTAGCAATAGAAACAAAAAGTTATCCCTATTTTGGCAAAACTATTGGTAGCATTTTCAGGTCTAATCAGATGATTGGCCCATTTTAGCGTGATGTATGCATGTGTGTGTTTATGATTGTAGGAATATTTATTTCCTTTTCAATCTTGTAAGCCCCATACTGATATAGTTAAGGATGGCCTGGAGCAAGAGCAACACATCCATTATCTACCTATTGCTTTTTTTTACAGTCATTAAGCTCTTACAGTAGAAGCCCAGTTATCCGGAATCCAGGTAACTGGCAGATTTAACTAACTGGCACCAAGATGAAATAATAATAATAAAAATTCCTGCAAAATCAGCTAGAATTGTAAGTTTGATTACCATGCACAATGGGGGATGAGCTGCCTTATTTATCGCTGTAATAAACAATAAAATTAATACAGTACATAGCATATCATAAAATACAATAGCACATTTTTTTATGTACAAAAATTAGCTCCTTCCACACTCAAACCATCCTCTGGGTGACATGACCCACTTCAGCCAGGAAGTCAACCAGCTGACACACAGACGTGTGGCTGCCACGCTTTGCCATGTGTATTCCATGACGTCACATCGGAGGTAGCACAGCCACACAGTTATAGCCCAATATACAAGGCGGCTGGGCTGGTGATTCAGCAACGGAGTTGTTGGCTGCCACTTCCACACACACACACACACACCTACGCTCTTCATTTTTCCTATTTTATAGTTTTATATCATATTTATTTTATTTTCAAGCCACATCGTTTATATAGAGTGGAATAAGTGTTTATCTGAGATGAATTTGCGAGGTCAGCTTGTAGCATTGTGAATTGTAGGATTTATTGGGGGATCCTAAGAGTGAGTTTCAACTAACAGGATTACAGGGCTTCTACTCTATGAGTTTGTTTACTCCACATGAGGTATCATTGTTGTCATATGATATTTTTTAGTGATCTTTATTTGTTACAGACTACAGTCATATAGGAAGTAATATTTTACACTTGTGGAACAGGTAACCAAACAGGAAGTGCATCAGTTGTGGGCAGAGTTAAAGGACTGTCTCTACACCCAAGATGTGGCCTGGGTTGAGAAGCAGGTGATGAGGGTAGTGACTTTCACATCAAGGGTCTTGGCCTTACACGAGAAGAACAGCTTCCTCTTAGACTCGCAGCTTGAAGACTTACAAGTAGGTAAGTTGACCCCATATATCTCTGGACTATGACCATATTACAAACATATACAGTACAGTTTGTTTGTATTTCCTCTATACTGTACTATGTAGCTAGTGTATATTCAGTAAACAGATGGGTACTAACTTCACTGACTCATGTTTGCTGCTGAAGCTTTATTATAAGAAGAACTAAATAATAGTTAAAGCGAAGGTAGTATATCCCAATACAGTACTGTATGTCCTTGTTACATATGATATTTTTCTTAATTACTGTTCTTCCACTTTGGGTTCAGTTGAAAGTAAATCAGTATTAAAGAGAAAGTTTTGTTCAACATGGTCATGCAAATCTTTGAGGTTCAATATGAAACTGTCAAAGCTGTGCAATGCAAATACAGTACTGTACATGTACAGTAATATGCAATTATCTTTGTTTGGCTCAAATGTGTATATATATTCCCCCCCCCTCACGGATATTGTCAGTGGAAGAAAAATTACTATTAGAAGAAGGGGCTCTTAATGCCTCAATACTTCTCCCAAAACAAAGAATGGGCACACAAATGAAGTAACATGCAGTACAATTATATGCTGCACAAGATCTCCTGTGGTATGGTTGCTTCTTTTTTAAGGATCGCTGGTTCACACCTGGGGCACCCCCAGTCCACCCAGCAGTGAATGACACTTAACTTTGTTTCCCTATGTACTGAAGGCTTAGTGTCATTGTATTGTATCCATACTGATTCTAATGGACCCCACTATCATATATAGCCAACAGTAGCTCATTAACAAACAACCTAAGCTTTCTAGCCTATTACCTATACGTACTGTAGTGATAAAACATAGATTTCTGTCTCGTTATCTTTAATATTTTAAACCAGTGTTTTAACATGCTCTGCTAAATCAAGAAAACATTGAATTTTTATTGGCATTTAGAGATTCAGAATTGTAAAGAAATTAACAATTGTGTATCTCTTTGTTTCTCCAGCAATTAAGGAGATGAAGCGGAGTGTGGAGGCAGTGGTAGCTTCACCCACAGACTTGTCACTTCACCGCAGCATGATCAAGAGGGTGCAGCTTACACTCACTCTTCTCTCTCGTATTGCAAACTCTCTCAATGAGGAATATCTCCAGCCTGATGATGATGTTAATGATGAAGAGCAACACCAGAAAAAGGCTGAGAGTAAACTGCCACATGCCAAGTTAACAAGTAAGGGAAACATGTCTACTTCTTAGGGTTTAGGATTTTGATCTTTATGGGTTTTACTGTGTATGAGGTGCTTACATGGGAATTGTGTTGTGTTTGAAATTTTATGAATTTAATTATGTTATCATGAAGGTGAAACGCTTTTTCTGTTTTCCACCACCAGAAACAGAGAGGGAGCAGCTTATCACATCAAACATAAAGGACATCCCTATTGATGTAGCAACACCTGTGCCAGTGTTGCACCACCAGAGAACCAGTATTAACCCTCAGCAACCCTCAGCAGCACAAGGGAACCAAGAGCATCTGCAGCAGAAGTCACTAAAAAGGTCCTCCAGATCCACATCCAGGCTTGGGGAAGTGCGGGTCAGGGCTGCTAGCTCTAATATGTCCGGTTAGTTTCTTACTTGTCACCTATGTTTATTAGTTATGTTTTAAATAATTCTACAATTCAGTAATAAATTATAATAAAAGGTAATTTATTGGAATCAGTAGCAGAATTGACTTTGTCTTGTATCTTGAAGGTCATCATTCTCGGTCAATGCAAGCCATGGCCAGCGAGACCCTTGGTTGTGATACTTCTATTGACATCACAAAGTTCCTCAGCCATTCCACCAACACACTGTCATCTTCAACCCGTGCATCCAGAAGGAACTTCACTCTCAGGGTATGTGGCAGTGATGGAGCTTGGTCAGCTTATATAAAGGGTTCCGTATGGTGTTTATACCTCATAGTGACTCATGCAAGGTGAGCAGATTAATTTATTTCATTGTTGTTTGACAATAATAACTGTATTATTACCAATATCCTCATAATGTTGAGAGTGGTACCTCTAGTGTAATGTCATATTCATGTGACTGACTGCATGAAACAACAACATTGGGCTAAAAGAAAGAAAGAAGGTTGTTTAGTGTCTGCATCTTCCACTGTGGTGGAAATTGCACAGTAGTGGAAGATACACACATTACCACTGTACCATCTCTCTGTAGCATTTACATCAGCCAACACCACGGTTTTTTCGCATTTCCGATAAAAGATACAAATTACATGAACACATCCACTCCTCCTTTTTTATCACTTTCAAGCTTTTGTCACTATGATGCAGTGTGGCTGATGTCAGATGAACACACACACACACACACACACACACACACACACACACACACACACACACACACACACACACACACACACACACACACACACACACACACACACACACACACACACACACACACACACACACACACACACACACACACACACACACACACACACACACACACACACACACACACACACACACACACACACACACACACACACACTTCCTTGTTTAGTCTTCCTCTTTCTCTCTCTCTTTATCCTCATTGGTATTTATTGTGTGTGAGATGATAACCTTCTGAGGCCTCACTTGCTTCTTCCTGTGTCATTTCCATCTATAACAAGAAAAAATATACTGTACAGTATATGTTTATGCTTCTTTGCATTTTCGTATTTTATTAATTTATTTTTGTAGACATGATAATACTGTAATAATGAATGAATAAAAAAATTGATAAATAAAGAATAAAGCACAAATTGTTATAACATAGACACATTACAGATGCATTTATTAGGCAGTTTCTCAGACGACTGCGTCAGAGGTTGCTGTTTATATACTGTACTCAATTGTGGGTCTGCTCTACCTTTATCCTTACTTACTCTGGTTATTGGTACATTAACCACAATTAGCTGATAAAAATTTTACTTAGTGTCCAAATCAGAATATGATGTTTTGAGCATTTCTGTTGGACACTACTAATACTGTACAGGTGCCTGGTACAGTGTTTAAGGGATGTTTGTATAAATAGTGAGATAATTTTGCAATAACCAGAGATATTCTTTTGTGCAGGTGAAGGAGATAAACCTAGATATGGATGGGGCCTTGGTAATGAAAGCCAGCGTTCCCTCACATCATTCTACTCACTCCAAAATGGGTTTACCAGAAGGTCATGCCAGGGCTTTTACAACTGAGAGAAAAGCTGCAGGTGAGATGGCAGAATTTTGAAGTGGAATTGTGTAAGTGTAGACAACCACATTATTATATACACCCTACCATACCATACACCACAACCCAACCACACCATACACCATCACCCAACCACACCATACACCACCACCAAACCACACCATACACCACCACCCAACCACACTATACACCACTACCCAGCCACACCATACACCACCACCCAGCCACACCATACACCATTCTCCAGACACACCTTCACCTAATATGTCAAGCTAGCTCTCCAATACAGTACAGTTCAGTACTTAATTTGGATTTATAATCTTACTTTTACATGTAATTCAACATGCTCAATGTCAGCCTTTAACATTTTGAGAACCTCCCCCCCCCCATGGGAAAATTCTCTTCTGTTTATGAAAAGTTTTTCAGGACTGGAACCCTTTCATAAATTGGGTTGTTTGTGCCTGTTTACAGATATCATGACTTTGTCAAAAATTCAGCAGTTGATTACATAGGTAATACCATTCAGAAATGGCATATGAACATGGGTCTCATTCACAACGGTTACAAAGGTGTGGGTAGATGGTTACAAAAGTGTGGGTAGATGTAAAACTATGTACTAGTACTGTGTTATATGTAATCTTGTTTTAGTTACCATAAATTGTGCTAATGAAAGAAACTGGTTCAAACTCACCCAAAGAGGGATTGGCAGAAGAAGGAGAGATGTGTGACCAAAATGCCCCTGGGATGTGGTGCAGTAGTGGGGAAGATCAGTATTATGACTCAAGACTAAAAGAGGTATCTGATCTAATAGCTCAAGAGAAAACTCTTCACTCAGCCCCACAACAACAAAGCTTTGGTGAAGAACTGACAGGTGGGTCACATTGTTGTCTCTTAACATCTTGATATAATTCAGTGGTTGTTTGACATTAAAGGCATTGAGGACTAAATTTGTTTGTAGAGTTTTGTAATTAAAACTTTAGACATGTTTCACAATTTAAATCACATTCATATTAATATTTACCAGCGTGTCTTTACTCCTATTTCTGGCAACTGTACATGATAATGACAGGGCTTGAGAAAGAATATAAACACATTTGCAGGTGGAATCTTTTTCACATATGTATATGATAACCAAACTAAAATTTAGAATTGTTTACGCAATGTTTCCAGTATTGTCAGCCTTATATTTAAAAGTTTTGAAGATTTCACGCATGGCGACCTTAAGTATCCAGGGCTGAAGTGGGATAAGGTTATTTGATTTTGATCCCCTCACCCCTTTGTCATCGTATCTGGTGAGTCACTGAGGCTGAGGGGACAAGGTATCACAGATTTAAATGTGGTGATAATATAGTTGTTGTTTTTCCTTATAGTTTTCTTATATTTAGGTATTCTGGAGAATCTCACATCAGTGGCAAGCAATTTCACACCCTTTACAACCCCGACATCTGGAAAGAAACGAAAATGTCAGTGGGAAGACTTTGAAAACAAAGAAAACACTGATGGGTCACTCAGGCTCCGGGGCATCAGGCTACAGAATGCATCTTTCAATCCACAGTTCCCAGAAATAACAGCTGGAGAGACAACAGATGTGTTTGATGAAAATCAATCCGGTGTGGACAACAAGAATGTCAGTGAATTTAAAGATTTGAGTGTTGGAGGCATTCAAGATCTTGCAATTTGGAAAGATTTTACAGCTATTTTGGAGAGAAAAACACCTATCAAGAGTAAAATATTTAACTTCAGTAGTAACTTCAGTAGCTGGCAACATCCACAGACACCAGTTCCCTTTTCTTCTTTGGGGAAAAATATTGCAACCTCTGATTTAGTCAAGGGTGTAAACAAAACTAGGAATGTGGTGGATTTGAGTGACACACCATTTTTTGACCAAACTCCACCTTTACCATCAACATCCTTCTCAAAGATGTGTGATGTGTCAAACCCTGTCACTTCATCATCTGACTGCTCTGTCAGCTCTTCCAGTGCATCTATCAGCACTCCTCAGAGAATGAAGGATCTCCAGTTTGTCCGTCAGCGACTGACAACACTGAGACGCTCTCTGAAATAGATATAGTACTGTACCTGTACTGTGCTGCATTTACTTTTTGGTTGGGCATAAAATACCATGGTCGTGACAGTGCAACAAATTCTGCCGTACTTTTGAGCCGAGTCAAACAGTCTTTAAGAAAATTAAAAGAAATACCACCACTTTATTCTTTCATGCCATTGATTATGTTCTTTAGATACTGTTTATTGTTAACATAATGTGTAATAATGCCTTTGTCAGACCCAATATTGACAGTTGATATTATTTTCATTCAGCCAATAGGTTTTAGTGAAGCCATTTATCCCCATGGGAAAAAAATGAAAATAGACATAAAATGGGAATAGGCAGCAAATATAAATATACAGTATAAAGTGTAGATGGTATTGACTGTGTGCCACCCTAAGGCTTCTACAGCACATCTTTCTGCCTCTCTTGACACCCAACACAGTTTAACACTCAATTTTCTTCAGATGTGATTTCATACAGTGTAATGAATTTAGACATACAGTATCTATAAAACTGTCATTGCTCTAGGCAGCTTTCAGACATTTTAAATGCAATATCATGTACAAAGGAATAAGATAGATATATACATTTGGTAAATAGATATTTATTCAGTATAATTGTCATGCAAATTTACATTGATTCAGCAGGTGGAAAAGGTGAGATAGTTGAGTAATTATCCAAGACAACTTTTTAGAAATGTCCAATATGTATTCTTTGTTATGGTTCATTCACACACTGATGGTCATTGTCACTCCATTCCTCCATCAGATCACCTGAAGATTAGGTACCCCAGCTTATTTTACCTGTTGATTAAACACCCTAATGCTACCTGGAGGGATTAGGTTAGGTTAGGGTGTTTAAGCATAAGGGGAAATAAGCTGGGGTGCTTAATTTTCAGGTGGTTCCCAACATATTTTCAAGTTGTTTCCAGAACATAACTCAGAAACTACAGAAATTAATTTTACATTAACCCTTAGGCCCCGGGTGACGTTCCAGAACGTCCGACCGGCGTGCCCCAGAACGTGCGCCTTTTCCCGCCACTGTTTAAATGCCCAGTGCGGGTTATCAGGTTCCCGTGTGACTATTTGCCTGTCACGCCACACCTCGGCCACAGGGAAGCTTCCTGAATGTAATTACCTACTTTTATTTGTTTAATTTTCATTGTTTGTCCAGTTTACCATGTTGTATCAAAGTAATATTGCTAAAAGTAGTGTAGTTGTATTGCAGTGTAGTATTACTGGAAGATAATACTATGATTATGTTATAAATGTATTTATTTATGGAATTATTATTATTTTATGCATTACTTGCTCTACCAAACACAAAGACAGCCAGACTGCTGTGTGTCTCCAAGCACTTCTTATGAAAAATAATGCAAAAATAAATTTTAGATGAATTATTTATAGGAAATAAGTATTATGATCAATAAATATATGCACTATTGGCCATCTCGGACACAAAGGCAAGTGCGTAGTGACAGCGAGCGCTCGACGTAAAAAAAACATTCCCCTTATTTGTCTCGTCCCTGAGGCGCCACGGAAGTTTCTAGAGGGACAATACGTATATAATTTTTCTTGCGTCTTTTTTATTGTTTTATCATTTATAAAGGTCAAAAATTATTTTTGGAGAAGTTGATTTTTCTCGTTTTACCCCCGCGTGGGGGGTACAGCCGTCGCCACCCTAGCCCGGGGCGTAGGGGTTAAATATGTGTTTTGGCTGAAAAATTGTCCATGTGAATGCATCCTCCAATTACTGTACAGTACTATATATGATAAATTCTATAGGAAAATTGGGTTGATGTAACAGAGCATCATGGTGAAAAACTTTTAAAGAATATATTCCTTCCATAACACAGGGGTTAGTAATAGTGATACAGTACAGTAGTAGTAGTATCTGTAGTAGTGTTGCACTGCTGTGACACTCGCAGTAGTAATGGTTAGCCATGTCTCAAAAACTTGTCTGTGAATTTTTCTGAAGTTGTCAGCGATGAAGGAAGGCTACAGGTTCCTGAAGTATGCATGTGAAGGGATTAGTTGGTTCATATTGGATTTCTCTAGTAAATTTCTAGATACGTACTGCACTGTATTTCATTCCTCATAGATTTTATTTTTATATTGCAGTTGGCAGCTCAAATAATTCTGTTCCTTATATTATCATTCCTATATTTGAACACTTATGAGTCTAATTAAAGAATATTTATGCAATATTTATCTTGGTACAGTATGTTTGTTTTTATATAAATTTTGTATATCTTCATCTTCCTTTTCCTTTCTCATAGTCTCAGTTATTTTTATTTTTCAGATTTTTCTTCTGAATCTTAAAGGGATTGCTTAAGACAACTATCACTAACATATAGACTTAAATATGTTGTGTTGCAGAGGTCAAAGGTCACAGATATCACTATTAATAAGAAGACAAGATGCAGTTGCTTGTACAAGTATACAGTACAGTATGTCACTATTTATAGTTTTATTTTTGTTACTTCCAGGAAGACATTTCAGAAATGTTTTTGCTGTACAATTGGCATAGTAAGCGATATCAGTGTTTTTAGTATGATTCATTCAAACAACAGTATCTGGCAAATAAGCAGCAGTCAAGTGAGTGACTGACGCCATTGTAGTCAGATGATAAACTAGTATTAACAAAATCCTGAGCCAAATTTCTCGCTGCTTAATCCTTTTCTAGCATTTTTGCTGGTCGAAGGCTTCCAGGTGGGTTGTAAAAGAGCTGTATCTCAATCCCATGCTTGGCAGACGAAGATTTGTGAAGAAAAAAAATGACAGCCTGTCCGAGACGATACAGCAGTACAAGCTAATAACACTTACTTCTTGTGTTGAACATTCAGTATATGGCTCATTTCCATGATTACAAGTTGTTTTACTTTTAGAACAAAATGAAAGGCCTTAGTTGCTTTAAAATAATTATCAATTGAGTAAGTGTTCATGAAGTTAGCAAATTAGCAAAATGTTTGCTTTTTTCCCCTAAATAACAAATGGCCATTAACCATCTGGTACTCCTGGCCATGATTGGAAATCTCACCCCCTTGCAGTCTTTCGACGCAGGTTGCGTCGGTAAAAGGAACATTTTTTTCATTTTAATCAACGGGTAGAGTGATACATACACAAATTGCACCCTTAGAAATGCATCTACCACACGGGGCTAGTGGGAGGAACTTAAGTGGTTGATAGGGCCGCTCCGGCGCTCCACTGTTCCTGCACTGTTCCTGATTCAACAATTGTGTAAATACGTAGACATAATTTGTTTGTGCAAATGTACAGTAGCTAAAACAACTATCTGCATACTTTGTGGGAAACAATATGAGACCATGGACGATAAATTTTGGTATATGAGGGCTGTCACTAGTCACACGTAAAATTTCGGAGCATATCGACCCCCACCTGCACAGATAGTTGTTTTAGCTACTGTACCTCTGATATCTCATTACATTTTATGGTTGATTTCTTGCCATCTAATTTTAAAGATTCCTTAATAAAAAAGGAACCACATTTCTCTTTGTCATATAGAGATTTTAGTTTCATCTGTTGACTCAGAAGGTTTTAACTGTATAACATGACCTTTAGGACTCATGAAAAGAAGCAGCTGTGGTTAGTTTAGTTTTTACAATTAAGAAATGTCTCATTCTTCATATTTTTATGGTGCCTTTATCAGTAGGTTCCAAGTGAAAATTATTTTATTAAAATTATTTTATCCCTCCCAACTATGGCAGGATTCTGATGTGTTAAATCATATTAAGAATAATTTAGGATAATGGCATATTGGTGATGGTGTTTCAGCTTTAATATTTAATGTTGTTGTTTGTATTAACATTATAATAGATTTCTGTATTTTTTTTTTTGGGGGGGGGGCAATTACTACACTTAGTAAGTCTTACAATTGGTAGATTTAATTATTAAATTATGTATATTAAGATGCTACCACATAGCTATCATTTGTTCATGTGTCTGATTGATGACTTTTGGATGTTGTAGAATATAATTTCATTGAAATTGTCTTGGTTACTTTATGCCCAGGTTTGAATATAGCATTTGACAATTACTTCAAATTCTACAACTTCTTATCTAGATCCAGGTCTCACCCATACTGCTTGTACTGTACAGCGATTGTTCTACCTGTGTTGCATAGTGTTGCAGCTTTCACTCAGTTATTTGAGTGTGGATGAACTCAGTGCTCTGATGTCATCCTATTTTTTTGGGTCATTGTTTCATAATCTCTGAAACAACACAGTATTAGTATTGTTCTTAATTCTTTCCCTCACACTTCATATTTCCTCACTGTGTCAACTCCTTGTCAATTTGCTGTGTACTGACAATGGAATTCAAGTCTTTCCTTAATTTTTTTTTTAATTTGACTTAACTCTATCTGTAAATTACTGCAGTGGGTGTTAGCATAGTGTTGAAGTGCCTCATGTTGATGATTTATCGTAATTATTGAGTAGAAATATTTAACAAAGGAAAGTTGTGCATGTTTGTTTTGGGTGAGATCTACTTAGGGAGCACAAGTTATTGGTACTCAGGGATAGGAGAGAGAGTGAAGAGTCTTGTCCTCATAGTCCTCACAGATAGGCAAGGGTATTAAGCACCACTTGGATGACTACCAAAGATATCATTGGCTGGGACATTATATCTATTTTTGAATACAAGTACAACACAGCGCTGTCAGCCAGGGATATGATAATGGTGCTTTAACACTCTTGGCCTATCTGTGAGGTCTATAATGGTGTAGAGATACAACCCACCATAAATGTATTGTAATATACAGGGCGTCCGCATTGAAATTAATCAACTTTGAAACCTTATAAATTTTTACTGAATGATGCAAACAGAGGAACATTCACACAATTCATAGTCAGTATGCTTGAGATTCATTTGGTGTATGGGTATATATCATTCGGATATGTTAGGGTAGACATTCAACACGTTCACCATTCGTAGCATGGATTAAGTCACAACGGTACTCAATTTCCCTCCACACATTGTATAACATCTGAGGTTATGGATGCCACCGTCACTGTGATGTGCTATTTCAGGTGCACCTTTATGGAGGATATCTCTGGGCTTCCGTGGAAGGTAGCATGTATGCATTAGACATCCTCCTCCGATATTCTGAGCTTTTCTCTACCATGCCCAATACCTGCCAACAGTGCGTAACAGAGACGTGACCGATCGCCCAAGCAGCTATCGAGCTGATCAGTGGTGAAGAGGATAAAAGTAAAGTAAAAAGTAAAAGAACACTGCCAGTCTCTTCAAATTGCTTCATCCATGTGTACAGGTCTCTTCGGGGTGATGGTTTCTTTCCAAACTTTGTACAAAAACATCGTTAAACCAGGGTAGGTGACTTCAGTTCAAGTCATTCATAACACACATTTTGCCTCTTCTTGCGGGGTCGTCATAATTCAATCTAAAATACACACAACAAAAATTAAGCACAGAAACTTAGATACAGGTACACCACCGATTTTCCGGCACCCTTGTTTCCAAAGCCTTGCCGGACCAACCGAGGTCAGGTAATAATAATTCAACGATACACCTCTGACCCACTAATTAAACACCTCCCGTGTCTCTAAAGAACTATGGACTGCTAGAAACTTAAATTAAACAAATATGAAATGTAAATTAAACGTGAAAAAGCCATAATTTTGAACAATTTATTACTGTACACACTTTATACTCAAATGTACCTCACTAAAGGACAAAAAAAAAATTATTACATTTTAATAAATATCTGATAATAATTCAAATATAATAACTGATTTGTTTTACAACTTTTATTCTTACCATTAATAAAACTACAATTAACTGATGCTTTTATTTGTTTTCTTAAACTTCAAATTCTTCTAGAACAGGGAGAAGTTATTCAATAGATTTTAAACCCAGTAGTACTGTAGTAATAAAACTCAGTAGTATTTACCAATTACGCTTTCAAAATTAGATGATCACCCACCAATCGCATTTCAGGATGGAATCATTGTGCCAGTTCTAAAATAGATATGCTAGGCCTCGCCATTTCCTCTAATATGTCATGGAAACCACACGTCCACAACATTGCTAAAGCTGCCTCCCGAAAGCTGAGAATGCTGTACAGATGCCGTAGCTACTTCCCTCCTGAGCAGTTGCTTCAAGTTTATAAGGGATTCATTCGTCCTAATTTGGAGTACAGTACTGCTCTCATATCTGGGGTGGCTCTTCTTCTGTCCAACTGTTAGATAGGGTGGAATCAAAGGTATTTCATCTTATTGACTCTCCTCCTTTAGTTGATAATCTTTCTTCCCTTTCTCTTCACTGTAATGTTGCTTCACTCTCTCTTTTACAAGTATTTCAACAGGGCATTGTTCGGTGGATTTGGTATCCTGTGTACCGCCGTCAAGGCCTTGGGGTCGTAATACTCGTCTTGCCCATGGTGCCCACAGTTTCTCAGTGGCTGTTGGTCACACTAGAATAACCCACTATAGTACATCCTTCTTTCCTTACACAGCCAAACTGTGGAATGCTCTGCCTCCTTCTGTCTTTCCATACTCAGACTTTGTCTCACTTTAAATAGCTAGTTTTCCAACATCTTCGTGGTGTAGATTAACATAATCTTTTTATTTTAAATTTTTAATCATATATATATACTGTATATATATATATATTTTTCTCCAATACCTATTTTATTACATTATGACAGTGGTAATGATTGCCTAGTCAGTCACCATAATTAAAAAAAAAAGTTTTCTATAATCAAGGGAAGCAGGCAGTCATTCCCCAAGTACATAAAATTAGCAAGTACAGTAGACACACCGGATATCAGGACTCTACCCTGTGAGCTGTAAAATTAAATTTAATATTAAAATTAAAAGCGTTTTACATAGGTATACAATTTTTATTGTATTACGCATCCTCCCTTTTATGACCTTTATAGCACATGAGAGGTAGCAGCTGTCGTGTTATATTGTGCATCATGATATACTGAGCATTTTAATGAAGATATTGAATTGAATGTTATAAATTCATTGATAGCGAATTTTTGCTTTGAAAACATAGATCTAACTTATCCATCAATAATATATGTCAATCATGAATGAACTATAAATTTGCACAGGAAATGCCATAGAAGAAAATCGATTTTATAACTAAGAAAGAATCCTATTGATAATGGTAAAAAATCCGAAATAGCTATTGGGATAAAAACGAATATTAACCGGAATGACACTGACAAGTTTGCCAACGCGGTTTTATGCCTGGACGATCTCCACGACGCAATCATTCGTCTTTTCTGACGCTCACACGTCTCAAGACTCTACCATTGATGCTAACTATGCCGGATTTAGACCTGTGGAGGCCCCCTCCATTATAACTACCCAAGAGGGTGGGGTGGCGAGTGAAGCGAGCCTAAACATCTGGGAGTTCCGGGGGGTGCTGTAAGCCCCCCCCAGGAAAATTTTGAAATTTGAACACTTCTTTGGAGAATTTTGAAGCCATATGCAGTTATATTGAGGAAATTAGAACATTGAGATATTTTTAATTAACTGTATATTTATTGATAGTGTTGGGTATGGGATGTTTGGGTTCACACTCAGGATGGGATGGAGAAAGGAAACTCACAATGTGCTCTCTGTATACATGTTGTATTGGATGTACAATGCAGCTTGGTGCTGGGAAGTGGCAGCGTGGTTACAAGCGTGATGTAGAGAGAGCTGGTTGGTGAGGACGCTCAGAGGACAGCTTGTGGGTCGTCATGCTCGCCGGCGGGAGCGAGGACCGCCAGGCAGCGGCGGAGGAGGTGGTGTAGCTTGCTGCGGCTGTAGCTAGAAGAGAGTTGGTTGGTGAGGATGCTCAGAGGAGGACAGCTTGTGGGTCGCCATGCTCACCGGCGGGAGCGAGGGCCGCCAGGCAGCGGCGGAGGAGGTGGTGTAGCTTGCTGGTTGGTGTAGGTAGAAAGAGAGAGGTCACCACGAGGTCAGGTCTTTTATAGCGGAGGTAGGCGTGGGTAGATTGTTGACCCCCGCTCCGTGGGTGGCGCTGGTTGACCTAGACCATGAGGCATACACTGGGGAATTCGTAGGGTCGGCTACTCAGCGACAAACAGCGTTTGTAGGGGAGGAATCCACTACAGTAGTGTACAAATTCCTAACACACACACACACACACGTGAGACATGACTGGAGTCATTCATGTGGTTTCATGTCGACCAGCCCTGATATAGCTACTCTTGCACATGTCAAAAATTTTCAAGAGACTTCACAGAAAAGAATATATTATTAGTTATTACAGAGATTATTCCTTGCATTATTAATCAGATAAACCTCAACTCAAATAATGGTTCTGTCCAAGAATGCATGGAATAGATAAACATGAATTTTAAAGAATGAAAAATAAAAATAATCCAAATGAATAAACAAATAAATAAAATATTGTAATATGTGGAGGCCCCTGGGCAGCTGCCCACTCCTGGATGTTAAGTTAGCGGTAATCATGCTAAATGTAGCAAGCTTGTGATGCCCTCGTCCACTTTTATAAATTATCAGTGTCACGACCATAGACAATTTTTGCTTAGCGATTTAATGATTCCGTAATGTTACTTAGTGTTATATGGCGGAAAGTCTTACTAGAAATGCTGATTTGCAATATGTTATGATATACAGTAGTCGGGTGAGCCTTGATCTTAGGGGCCGGTGTTATATGATAAACCTTCCGGTTGTATAATATGCGTATTTATGTGAAATAGTAAGTTTAAAAATCCTGAAAATATATCCTCTGCCAGTTTGGAAGTCCTCCTTTGGACAGCTTAACTTTCATAATCTATATTTATAATTTATTCCCTGCTACGTTTAGTTTTTTAATATATTGTTTTATTAAAAATTACTTGTTTAATACATTCAGATTAACTTGACAGACATTATCTCTTTTCACTTGATTTTTGTCTGTTTGCAAAATTTGGCTATTTTTTTAAATCAAATGAGTCCTTACAAAACCAAGTTAGTGTAGCGCTGTTGGCTCTACCGTCACTAACAGCTGACCACCATAACAACCAACATCACGTTAACACCATGCCTGCTGAGGAGAGTTTTACTAATAAAGGAGGACCCCATGGCTTAGGTAAGTTGATTATGGTATTGTACAATATAAATTTTGGCAGATTTTTTTTATATTGAAAATATGATTTATACTATTATCACCTTAACCTAGCCGGTATGTGGGGCAACTAACACATAGAGTAATGGCCACTGGAACAGCCACTATCAACAAGGATTGACGGTTGCAGGAATTAAACCTTTAGACTGTAGGGGTTTCTGTAAAAAAAATGTTTTATCTCAATTTCCCCAATTGGTATGAGGGTAAATTTTTACTTTCGGAGTCCCTATGGGTCGACCAATATGTTTTTCCAGTATATTTTGATGTGTTTTAAACGAATCTGACCTGCATTTTGGAGGGAAATTTTCGTTTTTGCCCCCCAACAATAATGGAGTAGACCCTGGTAAATCAGGAGTTTTTGGGTGGGGGAGAAAACGAAAAAGAGTCGTCTAACCTAACAAAGCCTAACCTAACCTAACCCCTGGCAGGCCTAGCTTAAACTAACCTAACCTAAATGTTTCAGTACTTTGGGGCGCGCCATGTCCGAAAGTACAATACCTATGTTAGAAGGGGATAGAAGATATTCTTTCTCGTAAAACTCGGCAATAAACTTAAATTAATCGTAGGAGGACAAATAACAACCAACCTCCACCACGGCCAGGGTCAGACTGTCAATGAAATTAAAATCCGTACCCAAGCTGCTTCCTTTGAAAAAATTAAAATGTGATTGGTCGAAAAAAATTCACGTGATGATATCAATACATCATTGCAAGAGGGTGGAAGAGGCTACTGCACATCAAATGTTGCATATTCATGGGACATATATCAAGTGGCAAACATTCCTGTTTTGCAAGTTTAAAAAGTCTGGACTCCTATTGCAGCAGGTTTAAATTCACTGAGACTTAAATAACAAAAAGGCAGAATAGTGTTGTCCAAAATTATGATATCATTTACTGTACAGTATAATTATTATTATTATCTGTGCACACTGGTTTATTTCAACAGGTGATCCTGATGATAAGTCTTTACGGAGAGTTGAAATTGAGGTGTGTATACCAAAGAGGATGCGTGATATAGCCCGAAGGGAGAAGTGTCCAAAGGAGGTGGAAGGTAAGAATGTCACTAAAGTGTATCATAAGGTATAAGGTAGTCTGTCAATTTTAGGGCTATTGGAGGAGACCAGGAGGATGGAAGAATGAAGTGAAGGAAATGCAATGCAGGACTAGAAGGGAGGGAGATTGACATCCAGCTAACAGCAGTGTGTGTGTGAATGAAAGGAGAGCTTGGAACATAGAGATATCACAGCAGTTAGGAGGGAGTGGATGACTGTAAATGGAAATGAGTTTCTATATGCTCCTGATTCCAGCCTCCTTTCATCTTCGTAGGAAACACTTGGGCTAATCAAAAAGTAATTTTTTTAAAACATATCTTCCCTTTACTTAAATTACTTTTATCCCCCACAGAATTTACAAAGTGCTGTAAGGATTCCAGCTACGCCATGGTGGTCAAGTGTCGCCCACAAAACACTGCCCTCTGGGACTGCCTCACCAAGTGGTACCATGATAAAGATTTTAAGGTATATCACTATTATTTTTAGGGATGTTATTTTATATCCCCTTGTCTCTCCTGCAGAAGGGAGATATAAAATAGGCCAGTGTCCATGTGTGTGTCTGTGTGGTGTCAGAATTTTTTATGACAGAAATTCAAATAACTGTAGCAAAGCTGGTAGCTGAGCAACTTTATATAGTACATGCCTGGAATGAGGGATGGGTCCTTCAGGCCTTACTCCTTTTAGCAGGTGGTAACAGAACTTACAACTACCCTTCCCTCTCCATCATACCATTGGTTATAATGAGGGAGATCGAATGCATCATTGTCGTATAGGGGCAGATCTAATTAGAAAATGTGCCCGCCCAGTCAGTATACAGGTGTACCCCAATATTCGACACATATAGGGACAGGGAAAAGTCATTGATTAGTGAATTAACAGTTATCGAAGCAATAACTTCCATAAGAACATAAATTCAGGGGGTTAGGGACCAGCCACCCTCCAAAAACTCACATCTACCCTTGGTATATCTCTTTACTGTACTGCATACTGTCAAGTAAGAAAATAAAGTCCACATACAAGTATAGTGCAAGCATAATAAGCCTTAAATAAGCAATGTAAAGTATATATTGAGACTGTTATTTACTTGTGTTGAGAATGGTAGAGACGTTCTAGGGTGGCAAGTTCAAGTCTCTATCATTCTTTGCTGGTCCATCACCTTTCTTATTACGCCTTATCACATCACATGACATCAAGCTGTCTCTAAGAGGGGCAACACAAGAGGAACTATCACTGGGGCATTTAGGCATGATTGCATAACACACAAAGTTGGAAATAAAAAAAAAACCATGAAGTCAGAGAAACATGGTAAGTATAAACAAGAACAAAGATGGTGGGAATGAGTCAGGGACAGTGCGCAGAGCCCTCTCGTTGCAAGAATTTGCACCACCAAATTCAAAACAGAAAATCCACTTCAGAAAATATGTTCATTGTTTTCTCCATATAATATCCACAGACCTCTCACCCTTTTCACATCATTTTTACACATCTAGTTTCTTGGCTAAGCTTATACACTTTCTTTTAGCTTTTGAACCAGCACTACCATGTCTTGCTCATGTTGAATATGGATGCAAAAATGCCGTAAGAAACCTGAGAGTTTTTTCCTTTTCTTGTTCAGATTTGTGAAAGCAAAAGGCCCACCAAGCTGTAACTGTTTATACTAGTGCTGCTGGCGTTACCACTCACAAGCCCGGCAGCCTCCGTGCGCAAGGCGTGTTTTTTTTTTTTTTTATATAATACATATCGGGATTTACTTACGTATGTGAAAATTTAATTTTATTATATTTTTTATTCTATTTTCGTCATAAATACAAGGAAAATAATGGTGTACTGTAAATTGAATTGGGTCCTAAATTAACCAGGGTCTTAAATATGAGTCGTCGTTATTAGAACGGTCGTTATTGTAGGCTTTCCTGTACCCATTTGCACCTGGGAGGAGTGGGAGTGAACCAGCGACCCATTAAGATAGGAGGCAAGTGATGTATCCACTCAGTCCCTGCACCCCTTACGAATATAATACAGTACTGTACTGTAATATTTTTTTTTTGTCAAAAGCACCAGTTCTTCTAAAGAATTCACTGGAGCTCAAAACACTACAAAATCAAGGACTTGAGAATAAAAACTAAAAAAGAAAATCACAAAAATATAGAAAATCTTAGCACTTGCTGACTAACTGGGGGAGAAGGCCAGTCTGAAAAATTTGAGCTATTTTCAATCTGAAAGGAAATGTTCTGAACTGTAAAATAAACTTCCTTCAACTTAAAGTTCCTCTGAAAAAGAATGTGCCAGTAAGCTCACTATATTAGATATTTGTTTAATTGATTAATGTATTGCATCGAGCTTTGTCCATATGGAGAGGAAATTTCATATCGATTATGAGGTCATGTTAAAGTCACTGTTACCGGTACTTAAACTAGCATTTTTATTATAAAACAGGTATACTGTATAGTATAACCTGAGTTTCCATGTACAGTATTAATGAGCATTTTACTGTCAGAGGTTTAGGATACTCTTAATAAATCTAGAATTTTGGTATCATAGCCATAACATGAATTTTTTTGCAGTAGTGAACATGATAAAGGTAGTGGTATTATTTATCTGCCTTAGCATCATATAATAATAAGACTTAGATAGGGAGTCTGATTTTCTGGGGATAAATGGCCAGAGGTGATGGTGATTGTGGCTCATAGAAGATGCAAGGTTTATGTGTGGTGTCAACTTGATAACTTTTGTTCTGCAGTATGACTCCTCCTTGTTTGGTTGGTAAATGACTTATTAGGTGCTACAGATACCTGTTGAATGTAATGTAACTTTATTTTATTCTTTCAGGATTACTGCACAAAGTTATACCTAGAAGAAAGAACTGAATATCGAAAAACAGGAATGACACAGAAAGAGAAGAGCAGGCTAGCCACTTCAGGATTTTAATCTTTATTGAATTGTTAGTTTATTGTATAGCACACACACACACACACACACACACACACACACACACACACACACACACACACACACACACACACACACACACACACACACACACACACACACACACACACACACACACACACACACACTTTTTTTGTAAAGTATTAAGTGATGATTGTTAAATAAAAACATATTTCAGTTATCGAAAATATCATTACAGACACTGATAGTCCTACAGTACTGTAAACACACCACTGACAGTCAACCAGTAGACAGCCAGACATTATCGACAAAGGACAGACAGTGTTTTCCTCTTCCACTAAGATGCCTTCCCCAACCCCAGCCACAGTAAGTCACTTTTTATACATGTATTGTATTTATTAATTTATCTCAGTACTACTGTAGTAGGGAAGCACAGGGGGGGGGGGGGTATTATAAGAGCTGCATTTCTCCTTTTCTTTTCTACTTAATTTATACAATGGTAGTTAACTTTTAAACTCTTCAACTTGGTTTTCTCTTAATTTCTTACTTCATTTATTTTTTCAATTAGTTTTGTCTAGTTATTTCATTTCATATAGTTACTCCATAACCTCTGACCTTTGGTAGCGTGGCTCAAGGGTTATGACACATGGGTACATTGTAATTCTGGTATCAAGCAATAGGAAAGAAAGACAGTAAAATACTGCAGGTAAATGATACTCCTAACATACAAATAAAATGGTTTATTAAAATGAAGTTTTATTCTATGAATAATTTTAGCAAAGTGATGATCAACCTACTCTTGGTGACTCCAAACACTCGGACAATTCAGGTGAATACATACAGGTGTACTCGGAGGGATAACACCGCCACCATATAGCCCTACTGAGTAGTGGACTCATCCATAACAATGATGGGGGCTGGCAGTGTTTGCTCGGCCTGTGATATCATTAGGCTGGACAGTGAATGCGTCAGTTGAACGGCTGGTCAATTGACTGGACCCCAGAGGTGGTGGTTAATTCCTGATGCTCATGTTCACGAATTTACTCGAGTTTACTGTATACTGCCAGATTCTGGGGTCATTAATTCTAAGGGGATAACTTAACTCAATTCTTAATTTTAAGGTCGCTGCCACCAGACCCCTGGACAGTATGTAGCGGGCAGAGTTAGCTAGGCACTGGGTTGGGTTTTTCATTGACCAAATCGAGAGTGGGAAGAAGGGTGAAACATCAATCATGACTTAACTAATTTATTCCTTATAAAACATATTGCATCCCGTCAAAATACAAGAAGAGTTGGCCTTCCTCAGAAGAACAACTATTATTTTCATTACAATTTACCTCAATATACATCTTACATCAAATAATTAACATTAACATCTTCATTTTTCATAACAATCACTGACCTCCTTACCTCGGTCATTCCTTCTTACCATAACATCTCACACATCTGCCTGCACCACCCGTTAGAGCATAGCAACATATGTTACATTACAGTACCACATGTTACATCATAGCACCACATTCCGGGTATACTCCACACCTACAAGTATGGAACTCCTCGGTATTCTTAGGTACACATACCAGTTACCTCGTTCACACACTACTCTTGATGAGTAGAGGGGAGTTACTTCCCAAGTAACCATACCAGTACCTTTTCTACGCCTGATATTGTAGGTCGCTCCACGTGACGACTGCAAATCTTCACAAACATACTACTATGTTCTCCTACTCCTGGGTGGTGATCTGTAGGGGATCCACAGGTTCACAGTGGAGGGGCATAACGGCGTAAACAGTCACCTCACATGGTGCGGCCCTCACAGTGTGGTAATGGCTGACGCTCAGAACACGTGGTAACTGTTTGGTTGAAGAGCGAGGCACGAATGAGCAAAATGCCTGATGGGCTTTTATCACCACACACTAATACACTACCACTTCACTTTATAACATCAGGCAAGGTTTTAAGATGTAAAATACTGATAAATAAGTCTTTTTAGGGCTGGTTGGAGCACGATGGAGTTCACTGACCTGTTTGGTTGAAGAGCAAGGCACGAATGAGGCCTGACGCCATGCTCTTCCCCCTGAGGTAGGCCTAGAGTTTCCAATTTTTAATTTTCACTTTGAATTCTTATGGTTCTCACATCTCCATTTTCCTTTCTATTGTGACCTTATGCCTTATAATTATGTATCTTAATCCTAAATTACATACTAAAGTAAGGGTCTGGTTTGACAGTTCCTGGGGAAATTAATTGGGCAGTATCATTAACTCAAAACTGTAGCCCGGGGCGGCCTAGGTGCCAACCCGAACAAAGCCTAGCGTCGTATTTTCATGGCGTGGGTATACAAGATATTTTCTTTGAAGCATAGTCTCTGGATCACTTCCAACACTTCACATAGGTCTGATACATTTATCCTTTTTCCAAATCATTGTTCTTTTATATTTTCATCTGCTAACTGCAGTAGTTATGCCACTAATCGTTCACTGACGTAAATATTATGACCTTCAAACATGATCTACACTTATCCTTATATTACACTAGTCTGTATCAATTGGACTTTCACAACAGTGCCGGATTTAGACCTGTGGAGGCCCATGGGCAGCCTCTTTGTGGAGGCCCCCCTCATTATAACTACCCAAGAGGGTGGGGTGGCGAGTGAAGCGAGCTTAAACATATGGGAGTTCCGGGGGGCGCTGTAAGCCCCCCGGGAAAATTTTGAAATTTGAACACTTCTTTGGAGAATTTTGAAGCCATATGCAGTTATATTGAGGAAATTAGAACATTGGGAAATTTTTAATTAACTGTATATTTATTGATAGTGTACAAATTCCCAACACACACACACGCACACAAAAGTGAGACATGACTGGAGTCATTCATGTCGCCCAGCCCTGATATAGCTACTCCTGCACATGTCAAAAATTTTCAAGAGACTTCACAGAAAAGAATATATTATTAGTTATTACAGAGAGATGATTCCTTGCATTATTAATCAGATAAACCTCTACTCAAATAATGGTTCTGTCCAAGTAGCTAGCCTAATTTCTATCACGCTTCTTGCTGAACATAGTTTTACGTGATGGAATAGATAAACATGAATTTTAAAGAATGAAAATAAAAATAATCCAAATGAATAAACAAATAAATAAAATATTGTAATATGTGGAAGCCCCCAGATTGTGGAGGCCCCTGGGCAGCTGCCCACTCCCGAATCCGGCCCTGTTTCCCAAACATCTTATAGATACCTTGAGTTCTCCTTAATGCTATGAGTACATACACTTAATATTATATAACCGTACCTGGGTACAATTCATAAAACAATTTATAAACATTCAGTCGGTGAGTTATCCTTTACCAACGTTTCCCGTTCTCTGAGACTCTACAAGCGCGGTGGATTTGAATGTTATGTTGCATAATATGAATTAAAGAGATTTTAAGAATGACAATGATGTGCACAGTACAATTGGCCTTCATTCATCTCCCAAACTAGTGTGGAGGTCGTCCCAATCTACAAGGCTCTTGGCCGAGAGGAACCTGTGGGTGGAGGAGTTTCAGACGCTGGACTGACGGTTGTTGACATGAACGTCAATGTTTCAAAAGGACGCTAAGTGCGTAAGAATACTTCACTTAAAACACATCAGTTACGTTACTGTATCACTTGCATATTCAAACTATTAACTAAGTCAAAATCACTTAATGTGGCGAGGTATAACACGGAGGAGCTGGACATTACCTGTGGGTGGAGGAGTTTCAGACGCTGGACTGACGCCCGGGAGCGTCAGTGCTCCTCACTCCTCCTCCTCCGCTCGGCTCCGAATTCCACTCACCCAACAATTTCAAAGAATGTATTTCTTGAGAGTACTCTTTAGTGCAAAATGTTTCCCATATTCCTCACATTTAAACTCCTTTATAACCACAGTGTACAAGAATGTGTTTCTTGAGAGTACTCTTTAGTGCAAAATATTTCCCACATTCCTCACATTCAAACTCCTTCACACCACTGTGTCCAAGAATGTGTGTCTTGAGATTACCCTTCTGGGAGAAACATTTCCCACATTCCTCACATTCAAATTTCTTTAAACCACTGTGTCCAAGAATGTGTGTCTTAAGAGTACTCTTCTGGGAGAAATATTTGCCACATTCCTTACATTCAAACTCCTTTATACCATTGTGTACAAGAATGTGTGTCTTGAGAGTACTCTTCTGGGAGAAACACTTCCCACACTCCTCGCACTTAAACTCCTTTATACCATTGTGTACAAGAATGTGTTTCTTGAGATTACTGGTAGATGAGAAATGTTTCCCACATTCCTCACATTTAAACTCCTTCACACCATTGTGTACAAGAATGTGTTTCTTGAGAGTAGACTTTAGTGTAAAGTGCTTCCCACATTCCTCACATTCAAACTCCTTTATACCACGATGTACAAGAATGTGTGTCTTGAGAGCACTCTTCCGGGAGAAACATTTCTCACATTCCTCACATTCAAACTCCTTCACACCATTGTGTACAAGAATGTGTGCCTTGAGATGAACCTTCTGGGAGAAACATTTCCCACATTCCTCACATTCAAACTCCTTTATACCACTGTGTCCACGAATGTGGGTCTTGAGAGTACTCTTTAGTGCAAAATGTTTCCCACATTCCTCACATTCAAACTCCTTTATGCCTCTGTGTCCAAGAATGTGTGTCTTGAGAGTACTCTTTAGTGCAAAATGTTTCCCACATTCCTCACATTCAAACTCCTTCACACCACTGTGTCCAAAAAAGTGTGTCTTGAGAGTACTCTTTAGTGCAAAATGTTTCCCACATTCCTCACATTCAAACTCCTTCACACCATTGTGTACAAGAAGATGTGATTTGAGATGACCCTTCTGGGAGAAACATTTCCCACATTCCTCACATTTAAACTCCTTCACACCATTGTGTACACGAATGTGATTCTTGAGAGAACTCTTCTGGGAGAAACATTTCCCACATTCCTCACATTCAAACTTCTTTATACCATTGTGTACAAGCATGTGTTTCTTGAGGTTACAGTTAGATGACAAATGTTTCCCACATTCCTCACATTCAAACTCCTTCACACCACTGTGTCCAAGTGAATGTTTCTGAAGAGTAGACTTGCAGCCAAATTGTTTGCCACATTCCTCACAGGAGAACTTTTTATCTCTGCTTGACATTGTGAACTTCTACTTAGTTACACTTGGTCTTGAGATGTGACATCACAGTATCTGAAACAAAATATTTTGCGTGAGATGATATTCTTATAAAAGTACAATTTATAAATGAAAACTACCCTGTACAAGTAACTAAATCAACTTTGGTAAAATAAGAGTAAAAATAAATTAAAATTTGAAAATAAAAAGGTTATATTAATCTAAACCACGAAGATGCTGGAAAACCAGCATTTTGAAGTGAGACAGAGTGTATGAGTATGGAAACACAGAAGAAGGCAGAGCATTCAACAGTTTAGCTGTGTGAGGAAAGAAGGATGTACTATAACGGGTTATTATAGTGTGACCGACATCCACACAGACACAGTTTGGCTGTGTGAGTAAAGAAGGATGTACTATAACAGGTTATTCTAGTGTGACTGACATCCACACAGACACAGTTTGGCTGTGTGAGCAAAGAGGGATGTACTATAACAGGTTATTATAGTGTGACCGACATCCACACAGACACAGTTTGGCTGTGTGAGTAAAGAAGGATGTACTATAACAGGTTATTCTAGTGTGACCGACATCCAC